TTGCAATTCTTGCAATTTACTGCGGTGGATAGGATCCAACAACAATGACAAAAATCTTTAATTTGGCAATACCTTGTCTATCAAAGTTACAAATACATATGTGTTTTTTWAAATTTTTTTATTTTATTTATTTATTTTTATGTGGTGCTGAGGATGTAACCCAGGGCCTTGCACATGCTAGGCAAGTGCTCTACTGCTGAGGCACAACAGCAGCCCCACATATACTTTTTTTTTTTTTTTTTTTTTTTTTTTAGTGTAGATGGACATAACACAATGCCTTTATTTTTTATGTGGTGCTGAGGCTCGAACCCAGGACCCGCCCATGCTAGGCGAGCGCACTAACACTGAGCCACAATCCCAGCCCCCACATATATGTTTTTAACAGCAACCTCAGATCAAAGATTTATCCTACAGATGCGTTCATACATGTGCACAGTGGACGGTCAAAGCAAGAGACTGGAAACATCCAAAATACTCATCAGCAGGAAATGGGTATAATTRTATATACCCATAATGGAATATAATTAATACAACATTTATTTGAGTATTAAAATATCTACTAAACACATGCTATATGCCATTGTTCTCGGTGTTTAGGATATATCAATAAGCAAAACAGATTCCCCACTGTCATGGAGTTCACATTCTGATTAATATGCCACATGCTATAAAGTTGTTCAAAGGTTACAACAAATCCATAAGTAAGGATATACAGCCATTTCCAAGTTATATTGTTACATGGAAAAAAAAACAGAAACAAATAGAGCATAGACATATTACCAAGTGTGTAAAATATGTCTTTGGGTCTGCATAAGATTTTTCTGGACACATTCATGAGAAACTGAAATAGTAACAAGCCCTGGGATGAAGAAATGAGGGATGAAGGATCAAATTTAGGAGGGAAGAGTTACTTTTCAATGCTTATAAAGTTTGGATTTTTATTCCATGCTTCTTTTACCACAAAATATCAAATATGAAGTAAAGCCATTTAACCTGATAAGTGCTTTCAAAGTCTTTTTTTCAAAAATTTTTTCAGTTGTAGATGGACACAATATCTTTATTTTATTTATTTATTTTTATGTGATGCTGAGAATCAAACCCAGTGCCTCATGCGTGCGAGGCAAGTGCTCTACCACCAAGCCACAGCCCCAGCCCTCAAAGTCTTTAATCCCTTAGACAAGGGTTTCTCAACCTTGGCACTTTTGAAAACTGTTGGCTGTGAATCAGTCATTCAACAGCAGTCCTAGACTTTACCCAGGAGAGTGGCACCCTCTCTCTGGCTGCGATAACCAATAATGTCTCTAGACATTGCAAAATTCCAGAGGCAAAATCTTCCCTGATTGAGAGCTACTGCTCAGGACAACTTGTCAAATAAATAGAGAAAAGGGAATTACTATCACCATTAGACAGATAAGAAAGTTGAGATAAAATCGGTTGTATTTTTGTGTGTGTGCCTCCTTTTCCATTGTCATTTATCCATTTATAATTTTAAATGCACAGTGCTCCACTGTTTTCCTGCCTTTTAACAATCTATCAATATGCAAATGAATGAATAGAAGCGGAATAAATATAAGTTATTTTAAAGTTTCTTTGTTTGTACTAGGTATCTTACCCAGGGGTGCTTTACCACTGAACTACGTTCCTAGTGCTTTTTATTTTTTGATTTTGAGACAGGGTCTCACTAATCTGCTGAGTCTAGCTAAGTTACTTGGCTGGCCTCAACTTTCAATCCTCTTATCTCAGTCTCCCAAATCACTGGGATTACAGGCATGTGCCATCGTGCCTGGCTCTTTTAAAGTTTTGATCCATTTTGGGTAATGTTTTAGCTATGTTAAGTCTTGCTGGAGATGTTGGATTATATAGCATACCAATCACTTGGTGAATAGACAAAATAATCTCTGTCAAGACTTAAAGGGAAAACTCATAGGAATTTATAGTAATAACCCTTGGGATGGAGAAATGAGGGATGAACATGTTAAAATAGCAAATCTCTTGCTTTGTTTAAAATGTTCACTTTGTCCCTCAATATTTGGAGTTGACTGGTCTTGTTTTTCCAGTTGGATTATTACTCATGTCATGAGGGTATGACTAAGGCTTCTCATTCTTTTGTATCCCATGGTGTCTAGAGTAGTTCCTAATGAGGTTTAAAATAAAGGTGCCCCAAGAGGATATGAACAAAGCACAGACCAGGACCTGGCACACAGATGAGATTGGAAAGGGACTGTGTCATCTGTGGAGTTTAAAAATATAAACTCTGGGGMTACATTTCCAAAAAGCCTCTAATCCGTTTGGCTTCGGTGGCTTGCCAAATGCATAAGAGAGGCAGGTTGTGGTACAGGCCAGGGGGTGCTGTGTGTTCCATCTCAACTCCTCTCTTCCAGCCCCCCCCCCCATTTAAAGGATTGAACCCAGTGCATGCCAGGGAGTGATTTACCACTGAGCTACCTCCCCAGCCCTTTGTAAATTTTTAGAGACAGGGTCCTGCTAAATTACTGAGGTTGGCCTCAAATCTTCAATTCTCCTGTCTCAGGCCCCAAGTAGCTGGGTTATAGGTGTGCACCGCTGTACTGGGCACCTCCTTTTGATCTCTATACTGTGTTGGGGCCTGCAATCATAAACACAAACAAGACTTAACTTTAGTATCCCACAGTTATGGGGTTAGCATACCCATAGCAGACATCAGCAGTCAGTGTGACTAGAGGGGTAGCAAAGGGTACTCTGAAAATCTGAGGGTCAAGGCCTGAAAGGACAAATTACAGGTGCAGCAGGTTTGTGCCCATCTTCCTTTCACCTTCACATGACTGCCCCTTGTCATTCTTGTTTCAGCTCAAATGCCACATCTTTAGGAAAGCTTTCTCTGACCACCTGTGGCTTCCTCCAGAGTGGGAGCTCCTGTGAGTAGAGAGCTTACCCATCTGTTCACAGCTGTATCCCCTGTGCCCAAGGTCTGTGGAGTGCAGAAGACATTCGCCAGTGGTGGCATCTCCAGAATGCATTGGACAGGTCAAGGTAAAGTCTATGGCTTTGAAGCCAAGATGTAGGATGGAGTCTCAGGTGCAGATGGGAGGAGGAGGAATCTAGAGAAACCTCTGAAAAGGGAAACAGGGTGGAAATTAGAGGGGACATTGAGCACCAAGGCATACATATATTAGTATCTTTACTAGAAGGGAGATGAGMAGGTTTTAGACTGAAGGTTAGGAACCCATGAAGACCAAGGAAAGAGGGGGACCAAGTCTTTTGGGAAGATAGGAGGGGAGAGGATCACAGAGCCCTGGTGGAAGYACTTTTCTCAAACTGCTGGAAGGCACCTGCTCCATCCTGACTAGAGAAAGGGAAAATGAGTGAGTGCCAGTTACAGATACTTGTTGCAGAGGATGAAGGGCAAGAGGCAGGATGTAGTGGTTTGAATGGTCTCTGTCACTGGGCAGCAAGACCAGTTGCTATTAGGCCTGGGGGAGAAATAGAAGGTGGTTGGATAGGGGCCAGGGGTCAAGCAGTAAATACAACTAGGGAGGGAAGTAGGTGAAGGAAGGAGAGGCTGATGGGTGCTGAGAAGGGGAAGGTGACAAGGGACTGGAGAAAGAACAATACATCATTTGATTGTGAGAGTTTAGGGAGTGTGGGTAGACAGCAGGGTCAGAGCCGAGAGTGGGGCACCTCATCTCAAGATTTCAGGGGTTGAGCTGTTTGAGGGATGACATAACCTACACTATGATCATAAGACCTGATGGCTGAGGTGGAGTTGGAGGTCACTGAAGACGAGGTCAAGGAAGTGGGTGGTAGAGAGCTACTCTGGTCCCTCTAAAGAGTAATGAGGTGGATGTGCAAAAGGAGCCAGAAGTGAGCTTCCAGGAATGAGGGAGATTGGGCAATAAGGAGATAGATGGGCCTTTGAAGACTGTGGGGCCTACCAAAAGGCTGGCCAAGGGTAGAAAGGTGACCATGACATTGTTGAGGGTCAAGACCAGGTTTAGTGAAGGCAGGAGGTGGAGAGAGGCAGGGGTCCCCAGAGACAGCTCTGGAGAGCATGGTGGTTATGGAGTCAGGAACCAGAGCCTGGGCAGCRGCCAGGAAGGACAGACAGGGTTTGAGGCAAAGTCTGGCCCAGGATGTGAGGCTGGGGTTGGCTGGACTCCAGGATCCCAGGGACCCCTGCTGAAATTCTGTGGCACTTGCCTGGGAGAGATTGGAGTCCCCTGACTGTAGGCTGAATCCTGTGCTTCACTCCTCGGAAACACAGGCTTGGAAAGGAATCCATAGACCAGTAATTGCGGGGACCCCACCTAGCGTGGGAAACAGCTGCCCACCAGGGAGGGCCCAGGACTCTCTCCAGACCTGGCTTTGGGGCAGAATCTACTTCAGAATCCCAGAGGCCCTGCGGCCCTACCGTGTTACCCTCGTCCYTCGGGCCCTCTGTGTCCCTTTCTCTGAGGGACAGGACAACCGGGCCTAGGGAACTAGCGARGGGCGCCTCCACCAGCATAGATTATGGACAGATTCTTTTGGGGGCCTTGGAGGGGGCAGGCGGGRGAGCCGGGCCCAATTCCAACGCCAGGGGGCGCCGTGGGCGGTCGGGCATCCGTCGGGGGGCGCTGCGGGCGCTGTGCCAGGCCCCGCCCCCAAAGCGGAGGGCTGCMGGCTGGGCGGAGGAGGCCGGTCGGAGGGCGGGGCGAGGCCAGAGGGGCGGGGACGCGAGCCCGCGGGGCGGGGCGGGGGCCGGCGCCGGGCTCCCCCTCCCTCCCTAGTTTTCTTTCTTTCTTTCTCTCCTTCTTGCTCTCTAGTCTTTTCTTTGCCTTCGCAGCCTGCCGAGGGGGCGGGCCTTGCAGCTTTTGTTGCCTGCGGACGGATCCTAGCTGCCCGCCCTGCCAGAGTCGGGGCCCAAACGCCGGGAGCTGCACGCGGCTGGGCACGTCCTGTGTCGGACCCTGGACCGGGCTGGGACSGGACGGGACAGACGAGAGCGTGCGCGAGGGGTCGCCCGGCGGCCGTCAGCTCCGGCCATGCCTGGCCGACCGAGTCCCCGCAGTCCTGCTTGGCTGCTGCGTCCCCTCCTCCTACTCCTCTGCGCTCTGGCGCCCGGCGCCCTCGGACCCGCACCAGGTGGGTGGCCGAACCTCCCTGGCCGGCCTGGCCCTACCATCCTCCCCGTTCGCCCAGCCTCGGGTTAGCCCCCACTCATGTCTGCGGACCCCGCTCCGCCTGTGTCTGGTAGCATCCCTCTCCCCTGGTGTTAGGGGTGGGGGGTCCCACCAGCAAGGGAGCGGAACCAAGTCTCCGGAGAAACTTTCTCAGCCCCGGACTTAGTAATCGACCCAGATTTTCGTCTGGAATAAGTCCCTTCCACTCTTAGGACTCCAGCTTCCCCACCGCGGGTGCAGAGATGCGCGCATCTCCTCGGGAGAGCTTTTGCTGGTGTGGGCAGAGCGCGGTTTACCCGCGAAGGATTTGGCTTCTCACTCTCTTTAGTCTGGGTCCCTGGGGAGTAGGCTGGCCTTGACGCTGCAGGCGAGGGCGCAGGTCCGAGGTCTACATGGGTTCCCCGAGGTCTTCAAGGGTTCCCCGCCGCGTTCCCCGACCCCCGCCCACCGCATCTGTGTAGCCTGCCCAGCTCTCAGCTGCGCTGGGGGTCGCGTCCCGCTCTGCCCTTGCATTTCCTGCCTCTCCCTTCCCCAAGTGTGAAGGCGCCGTGAGTGTAGCGGGAGCAGGAGCTTCTTCCTCAGCCCTAGATTAACTCTCCTCGCCCCGCCCGCCCGGCCTCCGACGAACCCCTGGCTCGCATCCAGACTCTTGTTTGGCGATGACCTGCCGGGCAGCCGCGCGCCTGGCTCACACAGAGCAGCTGGCCTGGGAATTTTAGGAACCAGGGGTGTAGGAGAACTTTGGCGGTGTGCTCAGGGAACTCCAGGTCGGATGGGGGCCGGTTGGGTACTGGGGAGAAAGCCCCGACAGAYAGGCAATTCAAAGGCTTTGTAGAGGAGGAGGGATTGAAAGGATGGTTGAGTTTTGGATGCACAGGAAGGGTGTGGAGGGGGTGGGGGTCTTCCCTAGGGACATCCGCTCTGAGACATTAGGCTTGCTTTCTGGGGATGGGGGTGACCTTTCTCCCCAAATGGAGAGACTTGTGAAGCTAGAATAGTGTCTAGGCCSGAAAGCAGAGGACATTTAAACCAGATCTTAGAGGTTTAGGAAAGACATTGATGGTAATGGCCAAAGAGTGTTTTAGGGAGGTTTGAATTAGTAGCAATATGCAGGGAGTGGAGAGGGAGCAATCCTTTATAAACACCTACTATGTGCCATCACTAGTTCTTATTTCTCATCTCATCAACTCTGCAAGACAGAAGATAAAGACCTTTTATGGGTGAGGAAACAGGCTGAAAGAGTATAGTGACTTGCTGGGGTTGGACTCTTGGGCTGCCTGAAGGAATTCTGCTGCTCAGAGCTGATGAGAATGAGCTGGGTGATGGGAATGAGGGAGCAGGAAAGTGATCCCCGAACAGGCCCCCTGGCATCTGTGGGAAGAGTAGTAGAGGGGAGTGGTCGACTGCATAGGATTCTTGTCAGGATTAAGTAAGATATTGAATGTCAGTTGCTTAGTATAGGGCAGAGTAACTACCAAGTAGTGACCATTATCTGTATTAATCTGTGAGGCTGATTCAGTAAGATTAGGGAATCTTTGGTGAGTCCTGCAGTTTGGACCTGTTGTCTAGGAGTGGAAATAGGCCAGGTACCCTCTGCCAACTAATCTAGGCATCACCCCCACCTAGTAGARAGTCTGTCTCTGGTATCCTCATAGATATGTAGCATGGTCTCCTCCCCATTCTTCTCTCATGATTTCTGATTCTGAGTCTGCTGGTCTCTTTGTCATTTTGTTTGGAGCTTAAGATTTAAGAGCCTGAGGCTCTTGCCATTGAATGGTACCTCTTTTGAGATTAAAGGATACATCTTGGGCTCACTTTTAGGAAAATATATACTGACTTTCTCCACGAGGGACTTGATGGGTTTCTGGGTCTCACTGTATCTCTTCCCATCCCCACATGCTGTATTGGTGGTGTAAGTCCTGTGTTCATGCCCTTCTGTGCATACCAGGAATGGAAGTGGGAACTCAAAGGGGAAGGCATGTATCAACCACATATCCTCCTCCAGTTATTTTTCCTCCTTGGCAGGCACTGCAGGTCATTTGAAGGGCTGGATTGTAACTTGGGTTCCTGATATGGAGGTGAGGGTAAACATAATGTTGGCATTTCTCTGGTTGAAGCTCCAAAGTGACAGTCTGTCACTGAGGGATACTATTCAAAGTATTTAACACCCAGTGTGGCAGGAGCTCTGTCCAATCAGAGCAGACCTTCTGACCTGGCAGAACAGACTTGGCCATGACTTGCAGTCCTGCTGAATAGCACCTGCTGCCTTCCCCAGGGAGCTTCTGCGCTGTAGGCTCAGCTCTGTGCAACCCAGTACATACTATGTGTTCAATGGACTAGAACCTGCAATTATCCTTCGTTGTCACTGGGTGGTGCTAGTTTCAACCACCAAGATCTCTGCTGGGGTCAACTGTAGGCAATACTGAGTTTATTTTTTTGCTTACTCTACCCCTCTTTAAAAATATTTTAATGGCAAAACAGTGTAAATTATCATAAAAATTCAGAAAACAAAATTATTGAAACAGAAGTCACAATCTCCTAGAAGTATTTTTCTCTTTTTGGTTAAAATACATATTAAACCATTAGGCAAAGAGATAAAACAAGTTTTTAAAGAAATAGCTAAGGGTTTTGGGTGTCACTCACCAGACAGGCATTTGTCCTACATGTATAGGGCCCTGAGTTTGATTTCCAGGACTGAAAAAATAAGAAAAGAAAAAGAAATATCAAAGTATACTTTTGAACTTCTACTAATTTTGAATTATAGCATACCTCAGGTTTACTATGTACCAGTCACTGCTGTAGACACTCATTTAATTTTCACATAACCAGAGGGTGGGGTATAATTATTCTCTCTCTCTCTCTCTTTCTCTCCCTCTCTCTCTCTCTCTTTTGTACTGGGGAATGAACCCAGGGGTGCTTAACCACTGAGCCACATCCCAACCCTTTTAAATATTTTATTTAGAAACAGGGTCTCACTGAGTTGCTTAGGCTGACTTTGAACTCTTGATCCTCCTGGGTCAGCATCCTGAGCCACTGGGATTACAGGTATGCACCACGGTGCCCCACATCTTCCCTATTTTATTGATGGATAAAGCTTGAGTCACTTTACCATGGTCTCACAGCTGTGGGTAATGGAGTGGGTATTCAAATCCATGCAGTCTGAGTCCAGATCACACTGATCCTAAGGCCTTTTACCTGCAGCACAACTCTACTTAGCCCCTGTTCACATTTTGCCTGTGGTGGTGTGTGCATGCACATGCACTCCAGATAACTCTGCTACTGAGCTCCACCCCCAGCCCCTGTTCACATTTTAACTTAATAAGGATGCTTTTTTTTGTAACTCACCTGAAATTTCTGTCTTGCAATATTTGTCCAAGGTCTAGAGCAGGTCAGTACAGTACATTCTCAACAGGGCAGTACATTACCTAGGGAGGCAAGGGCATGTGTCCCTCCCTAGGAACACTTTTTTGAGTTGTTGGAGCTATTTCTTCCTCYGGGGTTCAGATTCTCTAGGTACATACCTATTCCCCTCCTCCACCCTCATTCATTTGAAGATAATACTATTTGCCTAGAAATGTACCAGGGAGCTGCTGTTCTTCAGGTCGAGAACTTCAGGTTTGGTTGGCATCGCTGCCCCTGACCTTAAGCTCATCTTTGGCAGCATCAGCTTGATTGTCCCAGCTGTGGAACCACTTAAAGCCTTGGAATGTGGCTATTGTCTTAATCTCCTTCTCTTTGCCATTTTCACCCTTTACTTGGACTCCCCTCCTTAAGATTTCTGATGTGGGTTCTCCAAGCAGAGGATCAAAGAGATGAAATGGCCTGGCTCATCCAATTACTAAGTGGCACAGTTGGGACCTGAATCCTGATCTGTCTCCTTTCAAAGCCCATGCTCTTGTCAATGTATTATTTTSTCACTCTGTCTCATTTCACAAAACAGGTGCCTGGGCTAAGATTGGTTCTTGCTGCTTGTTCTCTTCATTTCTAGTTTTCCCCCACTTCTCTGAAGATCTACCACATGGTACTTACCACCACAATGCCTTCCTCTCTACATATAGCTGAATTTGTACCCATATGTCAGGGGACATCTCAAATGGATCCTCCTTGATGAAGCCTTTCTTCATCCCAGTCTACCTATGGGTTGTCTTCTCCCTTGCTTGGGCCTTCCCAGGCTGGGGGTCATGGTACCCTTTGCCCACTTCTCTGCCTTTTGCATTTTTCTGGACTTCAGAGCACCTAATGATCCTGCATAATTAGTTACCAAGGATCACATACCAGATGCTATAGCCAGGCATTTCATAACAGCAATGAGCAAACAAGGCTGGTGGGGACAAAATTTTGTTTTGAAACATRGGATCTCTAGGCCTTTCTCGTTTTTTCCATATTGGTCACAGACTAAGTTTTTACTGAATAAAATAAAACACAAATATGATGCTAAAGGACAACTTATGGTCAGCCACAGTGTTGGGAACAATAGGGAGGAGTGAGGACTGTGGCAGATAGGGGAGCACAGACCCTCTCTGAAGGGGACTCACTGTTTGACTCCACTTCCAATTCTGCTAGATAGGAATTTAAGCCTGGATGTGTGGATGATAAGGAAAGCTGAAAATTGAGATTTTTTTTAGAAAGTCATGTGATTTTTAAACACTAGCTACTGATTAAAAAGTTTTCCAATAATGGTACCAGCCAAAACAAACAAAATCAATAAACTAACAAAAACAAGTTTGCAGGCTGTGGTTGTRGAGTTGTAATCGCAGTCACCCTTACTAGTATATCATAGCAGTAAGTCTCCTTAAATCACCCATCCCTGTGGCTCCCAAATGCCACCCCCTGAAACGGCCCCTTCAGAATTCCTAGGGAGGTTTYGAAAATTACAGAAACTCCAGATCTTAGACTCCAGAGCCTCAGATCCGTGGAATCACACTCTCTGGGCTGCGTCCTTGGTGTCTGTAGTTTTTCAAAGCTCTCTGGGTATTGCTGGTCAATCAAGTTCACTCCCAGTGGGAGGTTTCCTAACTTCCCTGATGGTCACAGTTCCCTGAGGCTATTGGTAAAAAAAAAAAAAACGTGACTTCCTAGTTATGTTTCCTGGAGATGCTGCTGATTCAGTGAGTCCAGCATAGGGCCTGGGATTTTGTTTTTAAGAAATTCTTGTCCAGGAAGTCTGGAAAATCTTTCCACTCAGGCCCCCTGAAGCTCAGTGGTGGGAAAGACTCATTCAGAGCCCGTGACTCTCAGAGAAGGTCTGCACCACCAGGGCAAAAGCGGGCAGAAGGCGATATCTTTAGTAGGGGACATGCCGCTGGCATATGCAAGGCATTCTACATGCGGAGACAGATGAAGAGAGGCTTTGGATCTGCAACATGGCCAGGAGGGAGTCTCTGTTAGGCTTGGCCTCCCTTCCGGCAGCAGGCAGCAGCAAAGAGCCCTGGGGGGTGTCATGTGTATCCCAGGGATCGTTGTTATGAACAGGATCCCAGGAGCTGGGCATAAACCTAATTTATCTGGGCAGGATCTAGGCTGGAGAAACCTCAGATTGGTGAGTTTCCTGTTTTTTCCCTTTGGGCCCAGGGTTCCCACATTTCCATCAAAGCAGCACTGTTCTGGTATATGTATCCCCATAACATTTCTTTTGAAGATTAGGAATGATAGCCAAAGAAGTTTTGAAAAAGTTGCTTTAATTCAACTTCTTCACACTAGTGATGGAAAAACTGAGCAAGGGACAGACTGCTGAGAATATAGAGTAATAGAAGAGATTGAAGCCACTTGGGAAATTTGGGATCAAGTCTCAGCTCTGCCACTCTTGCTGGGTGGCTTTAGATTAGTCTCTCTACTTCTTTGAGCCTCCCTTTGCTTTCTTGCCTAAAATCTAGTCTAGTAGAACTTACTTCAGGTATCCTAACCTGGGGTCTACAGTCTGAGGGACCATAAATTCCAGGGATCCATGAACTTGGATGGGAAGATATTACCCTCTTAATTTTTCTAACTACCAAGTGAAATTTAACATTTTCTTCAATTATGGATGTTACCAACAAATCCCAATATTATTAGCAGTACCTGTGATTTTGATACCAATAGAAAAAATATTTTATATATATCAAATGTTTTTATATATAGTATATATTTATAAATATACATGTATATAAAATATATATTTCTTATCTCATTACAGTTGTTGCAGGTATCTTGAAATAAGGTATATGCTCATCACTGCTTCAAAATTACCATAGTTTGATAAACTTGCCATTAAATCTTTTTTTTTAAAAAAATTTTTAGTTGTCAATGGACCTTTATTTTGTTTATTTATATGCGATGCTGAGAATTGAACCCAGTGCCTCACACATGCTAGGCACTCTATCACTGAGCCACAACCCCAGCCCCCATTAAATCTTTTTTAATGAATTAATAAAAGACCACACAATTCCATACTCCACTTTTTTTTTTTTTTTTTTTTGGTACTGAGGATGGAACCCAGGGCATAATACTATGGGGCGACCTCCCTAGCCCTTTTTATTTTTTGAGACAAGCTCTCACTAAGTTGCTGAGGCTGGTCTCAAACTTGTGGTCCTCCTGCCTCAGCCTCCTGAGTTGCTGGGATTACAGGCTTGTGCCACTGTGCTTGGCCTATCCATATTCCATTTTTATAATAACAAACTTTGTTGGTACTCCTATATATTTTATCCATTTAAAAACATTGTTCTGGGCTGGGGTTTGTGGCTCAGTAGTAGAGTGCTCACCTAGCACATGCAAGGCCCTGGGTTTGATCCTCAGCACCACAAACAAATAAACAACAACAACAAAACATTGTTCTGAGACAAGGTTCATGGCAAAAAAAAAAAAAAAAATAGTTTTAGATACCCTGAAGTCTAAGAGGACAGAGCCATGGGGAGAGGGTTTTTCAAACTGTAAGGGCTTGAGCAGAAGTCTGCAGATTTTTTTTCTACCTTTCTTCAAATGAGCTCTTGCATGTAAAAGAATCCCGAGGTGCTCAGTTGAAATGGTGGTGGTGGTAAGGGCAGAGGAGCCACACCTGGATAGTCCTYTCCATCTCTTCATCCCAGGAAGCCCTGTGATGCAGAACACTCAGCACATTTTATAATCTGCCAGGCTCATAACAATCAACAATCGTAGTATCTTTGTGGTCGGTCAGTGGGCCAGGCACTGCTTTATGTGAAGTAGTTTAGATCATTYAATCCTTACAATAGCCCAAGAGTCTAAATTCTATGATTATCCCCACTCTACAGATTCATTCAACAAATATTGAGAAACAACCAAGTCCAGACACTTCTAGCASTTAAAATMTTCAYGAAAKTATATAAAWTTTTTTTATTTGTTCTTTTTAGTTAAACATGACAATAGAATGTATTTTGACATTTTATACATACATGGAATATAATTTCCCATTCTTGTGGTTTACATGATGTAATTGTGAATGAAGAGTCTTTCTAGAGTTTACATTGGGAGAAGAGGGAGAAAACAAATAGAAAACATAATGAAGGCTGGGTGTGGTGGCACATTCCTATAATCCCAGTGGTTCACGAGGCTGAGRAAGGAGGATTGCCAGTTCATACCAGCCTCAGCAATTTATGAGCCCAGATGCAACTCAGCGAGACCCTATCTCTAAATTAAATATAAAAAAGGGGCTGAGGATGTGGCTCAGTGGTTGAGTGCCCCTAGATTCAATCCCCGCACCAAAAACAAAAGCATAATGAAAATGTTAAGTGATACAGTATGTCAGAGTGCTATGGGGTAGGGGGGTGGTAAAGCAGGGAAGTGGGATAGGAAGAGTAGTTGGGATGTTGAAGTGGTCAGGAGAGGACTCACTGAGGAAAATACATTAAGCAAGAACTTGAAGGGAGTGAAGATTTAACCTGTGGAAATCAGGGAAGAATGTTCCAGGGGCAGAGGACAGCAATGCAAAATCCCAAAGCAGGATCATGTCTGGCCTGTTGGACTTCAAGGAATATTGGGAACAAGGAGCGTCTTGGAGGTGAGATTGGAGAAGTATCCTTTCCTAGGGCCTCATGCCATGCTAGAACTTTGTCTTATGCTCTAAATGAGATGTGAGCCACTGCAGAATTTTGAGCAAGGTAGGACCATGATCTGAATGAATGAATTCTGGTTGCTGTGCTAAAAATTGGCTAATGAAGGGCTCCCTGGGTGGACAATAGTGGAAGTTAAGAAGTTACCCTAGCCTGGGTGATGGTGCAGGTCTGTGATCCAGCTACTCTGGTGGCCAAGGCAGGAGGATCATAAGTTCCAGGCCAGAGTGGACAAATTAGCAAGACCCTGTCTCAAAAACAAACCACAACAGAAAGGGCTGGAGATATAGTTCAGTACTAAAGCGCCCTTGGGTTCAATTCCCAATACCAGAATTAAAAAAAAAAAAAAAAACAAAACCCACAGAATTTATTGCAATAATCCAGATGGAGAAACTGAGGCATGGAGAGTATTTTTTTTATTGGTTGTTCAAAACATTACAAAGCTCATGACATATCATCTTTCACACATTTGATTCAAGTGAGTTATGAACTCCCATTTTTACCCCAAATACAAACTGCAGAATCACATCAGTTATACGTTCACATTTTTACATAATGCCATATTTGTGACTGCTGTATTTTGCTGCCTTTCCTATCCCCTACTATCTCCCCTCCCCTCCCATCTTCCCTCTCTACCTCATCTGTTGTTCAATTCTCTCCCTTGTTTTTTTCCCCCCCTTTCCCCTCACAACCTCTTATATGTGATTTCGTATAACATTGAGGGTTTCCTTCCGTTTCCATGCAATTTCCCTTCTCTCTCCCTTTCCCTCCCACCACTCGTCTCTATTTAATGTTAATCTTTTCCTCATGCTCTTCCTCATGGAGAGTATTTGAATCCAGGCATTCTGATGCCAGTGCCATCTCTTCGCTGCACTTCCTCTGGTCCCTGGTGACCAGCCAGGACCCAGGGTCCGCTCAAGACCTAAGCACTGCTTGGGTTTTCTCCCTGCAGGGCGCGCAACCGAAGGCTGGGCAGCCGTGGACATCGTACACCCAGTGCGTGTGGACGCTGGGGGCTCCTTCCTGTCCTATGATCTGTGGCCACGTGCGTTGCGCAAGCGGGATGTGTCCKCGCGCAGCGATGTGCCCTCCTTCTACGAGCTTCAGTACCGCGGACGCGAGCTGCGCTTCAACCTGACTGCCAACCCATACCTCCTGGCTCCCAGCTTCGTCAGTGAGACGCGGAGGCTGGGCGGCCTGGGTCGCTCGCACATCCGGACCCATGTCCAGGCCTGCCACCTGCTTGGGGAGGTGCAGGACCCAGAGCTTGAGGGCGGCCTGGCGGCCATCAGCGCCTGCGATGGCTTGGTGAGTGCTGAGGGCATGCTTGATGCTGACTGGGTAGTGGGGCCCTGGATGCCCCCCCCCCGCCCCGCCTTTCCATTGTTTGCCTGGTGGATTTGGTCACCGTGCTTTCCTCTGCCAGCTTCAGTACTCGTGGGCTAAATGAGAATGACAGCCCAGGTCTCACTGTTCTCTAGGACAGGGATTCGTGAAGTTTTATGCGAGCTGGAATCACCCGCAGACCTTGTTTTTAACTGGGTAGGCATGGGATGGGGCCCAAACATTTGAATTTCTGCAAGTGTTTCTGGGGGCATTGAAGCTGCTGGTCCAGAGACCCCACTTGAAGTACCACTGTTTGTTGAGATTAAGCAATCAGTTAATCCTTCTTTGGCTTATCAATTATGACTCTTCCTTCACAGATCGTTGAGGCCCCCTCTCAGCCTCCTGGCTTTGTCTGGCTTGAAGGCAATGCTTTCTACCACCTGCAGCTTTAATTGCCTCCCCTGCTTTGGGCCAAGTATAGCATCTCCCACTCCAGGCAGTATAAGGCCCCTTTCTTCTCCTATTTAGGTGCCCACTATTCCCCTCCCTGCCCCCAAGTGTGAGCTGTGGGGGATGCGTGCACCCTCTTGGCCATCCACTGTTCCTGGAGGGCTCCAGTGTAGATGGCTCAGGCAAAAGCCATGGAGTGTGGAGGCAGCGGGCCTAATGACAAGGCAGCCTGCAACACAGGCTGCAGAATGCCTGGGCCTTGGAAGTCCCATCTGCTCAGTTTTCTTGTTTGTGGAGCTTTAGCCCCTCCTCTAACATATGGTTAATTCTGTCAAGCCTGGGCAGCACTGGTGCATATGGGCATTGTTCCTACTTCACAAATGAGGAAACAGGCTCAGAGAGGCACTTGCCCCAGGTTACCAGTTATCCAGAGGTRGAGATTGCATTCAAACCCAGTTCTCCAGTCCCTAGAATGGATGCACTCTCCAGCACTTCAGCTCCTTGGCCTGTGTGACCCAGGAGGTAGAACTGGGGCTTCCGAAGGAAGGTTGTTACACCATTGTCCCTGCTGGAGTCCTGAGTTTCCCAAGTTGGTGGGCTGCTTTGAGGTACTTTCCACTGCCCTCCCTTCCTGGACTCTGAAAGCTGAGCAGACATGCCCAAAGCACCTCTGCCAGCTTCCCTTTTCTAGTGGACCCTGGTCCCAGGGAACAGAATGTTCTGGTGGCTGTGGACATCTTGGTGGGTGTGAGTAGAGCTGCTTTTGGGGTGATTTATTGTCTCAGGGGGACTGAGGGCAGATCAGAAGCTCTGATTGTCTGGGAGGGGGCACAGTGGCTGGAGATGGTTGGCATGCAAAGAACCCGTAGAAGAGCCCAGCGGCCTGGGCTGCCTCACTCAAAATGGCTGTGTGGGATGCTGTAGAAGATGCCATCTTTTCAGATTTGGTTGCAGACTCTTTCTCCCTCCTAATGGTGTGGGTGTGAAGAGCAGCATCCTGGGGGTGGGGCCTCTGAGCTTCACTTTGAAACCTTTGGTTGTGTGGAATGGCAAGAAAGGACATTCCAGGCACAGAGTACAGAGTGAGCAAGGGCTCAGTGGGAGGGAAGCGCTGCGTGTCTGTGGTCAGAGTGAGGTGGTGGGTATGGTGTGGGCTCAACTGGGCATGATGRGCCTTTGGGGCGGTTGGGAAGGGCAGCCAGGTATCAGCCCTCCCTGTGTGACCCCATTCTTCTCCCCCAGAAAGGTGTGTTCCAGCTCTCCAACGAGGACTACTTCATTGAGCCCCTGGAAGGTGTTCCAGCCCGGCCTGGCCACGCCCAGCCCCATGTGGTATACAAGCGCCAAGCCCCAGAGAGGCAAGCTGAACAGGGTGACTCCAGGGCTCCAGGCACCTGTGGGGTACAAGGTATGCTCCTCCTCACAGGTCGTGGCAGGGGAGACACAGAAAGCCTGTTTTAGAAGTCTCTTCAAACATCTCCATGCCCAGATCTCCTTGTCCCAGAGGGACCCAGATGGACAGACATACCACCCTAGCCCAAGCCTTTAGATGTCCCAGAGGTCTGTGACATCAGTCCATCAGGCCTGCCCCAGCTGATTCCCCTGAACTGATCCTCTCTGCTCCCACCTCACCTCCCCCTCGTTTTGGGGCTCTCTCTGCGTCCTCCATTGTTGCCTATGGCACCTCTGGCTCTGTCAACCATTCTTCATCGAGTGTCCAGGCCAGGCAGGACCATGACCAGGACCTTCAACAGGGCCACTGGCTAGAAACCTCCCCCTTCCTTCCCCTGCTCCCACTCCAGAATAACTGAGCTCTGTTATTAGGGACCTGAGTGCAGAACCTAGCACCGCCTCTGCAGAGCTTCCGTCATGGTAAGGAGCTGCCCACCAAGGGCTGCTTGGGTTTGGCTCAGCTGGCCCTCCAACCTTAAGCTTCCCAAAGCTCAGAGACTCTGTTGCCAGGACAGATGCCCATGAGGCATGTTTCTCAGCCTCAGTTTCCCCTGTTGCATATTTGTGCTTCCTGGTTTGCTCTGGGGCAGTCTAGGGCAGAGGAGCAGGTCCTCAGTGGGGTCAGCTGGGTCTTGGCCAGTCTTTCCTGGCTGGAGGTTAGGCTATGGGTCTGTGTGTGCTGGGATGCATTAACCTCTTAATAGGGGAGGTCATGACACAGGGAGATAGGGCCCAGGCTCCAGCTTTTTTGGGTCCAGGAGCTTCCCTCAAATAGACATAGTGCTTTTTTCCTTTTCTTTTCTTTCTTTTTTTTGTAGTGCTGGGAATTGAACCCAGGGCCTGACACCCATTAGATAAGAGTTTCATCACTGAGCTACATCCCCAGCTCCCAGGCATAGTACTTTACCAAGCTTATATCTAACATTTTTGTTTGCCTCCAGTATCACTTTTCCATGTAGATTCTTATTTAGGGGAATAATCCTGGGAATCCCAGGATCAGAAGAGAAGGGAAGTGACCAGGCAGATAACACAGTGATCTGTTATCACAGACCTAGGACGGACCCAGGGGGGCATCCAGGTCTCTGTCTCTGATCCCAGTGCTGTTCCTGCTGTGCCAGAGAGCTCACTAAGAAGAAGTCTTAGAGACATGTGTCCTGGGCCCAGCTAACTCCACCTGTCTGGGGCCCACAGTGTCCCCGGAGCTGGAGCCTCGTCGTGATCGTTGGGAGCAGCGGCATCAGTGGCAGCGGCATCGACCGAGGCGGCTGCACCAGCGCTCTGTCAGCAAAGAGAAGTGGGTGGAGACCCTGGTGGTAGCTGATGCCAAAATGGTGGAGTACCACGGGCAGCCGCAAGTGGAGAGCTACGTGCTGACCATCATGAACATGGTGAGGCTGCAGCAGGCAGCGGCAGTGGCATGGGGAAGGCACAGTGAGTGTTGTTGGGGGTGGATTACAAAGGGGGGTACAGGGCAGGAAGGCTGGCAGGGGGTCACTTGGAGAGAACAGCAGCACAAGACACTGGCCACATCATCTAGCTGCACAGCATGTTTCCACCGTGTCCTTGTCCACTCAGGTACTAGTCAGAGTGCTGCTATGACAACACAGGGTATGATGCCATCTTACTGGCTCAGCTGGCATTTGGGGAGATGGGGAAGCCACAACCCTGTGCCTGGCCAGTTCACTTACCTTGCCCTGAACACTCACCTTTCTCCTTTGTATCAAGATCTGTGATAGGTTCTGGGGACACAGACGTGCCCAATCAGACCAGGTCCTGCCTGATACATCAGCACGAAGTAGAGTTGCATCTGTTCAGTTTTGTGGTCTACTAGCTGGTGAACTCGGGGCACATTACTTATCTGTGAAATCGGGATGACAGTACCTTGTGGGATTGGAACACTGTGCACGCGCATGTGTGTGTGTGTGTGTGTGTGTGTGTGTGTGTGTGTGTGTGAGTGTTTATTTTTTATTATTTTTATACCTGGGATTGAAACACTGAGCCAAATCCTCAGCCTCCCCACTTTTTAAAAATGTATTTAGAAACAGGATCGCTGAGTTGCTTAGGGCCTCCCCAAATTGCCGAGGCTGGCTTTGAACTCATGATCCTCCTGCCTCAGCCTCTCAAGCTGCTGGGATTATAGGCATGYTCCACTGCACCCAGCTTTTTCTTTCTTTCTTTCTTTTTTTCTTTTTGTTTCTTGGTGCATTATAGTTGCACATATTGATGGGATTTGTTATTACATATTTATACATGCACATAATATAACAATATAATTTGAACAGTATCTCTCCCCACTATTTTCCCCCTCCCTCCCYACCTCTCACCTTTTGATCCCTTTTTTTTTATTGATGTCTCTTTGAATTTTAGAAGATCCACCCCAACCTTTGTTTTCCTTTTTCCTCTCTAGCTTTTGCTTTGGAGAAACATTTGACCCTTAACCTTCTGAGTTTGACTTATTTCGTTTAATATGGTGGTCTCTAGTTCCATCCATTTTCCTGCAAATACCATAATTTCATTTTTCCTTACGGTTGAATAAAACTCCATTGTGTGTATATAACCACACTTTCTTTGTCCATTCGTCCTTTGATGAACACCTAGGGTGGTTCCATAGTTGATGGGACATTGCTCTTGACCTCACCTCATGTGACAGTTGGTATAACAGAGGCCCTAAGAGGTGACCTACTTGCCAGGTCACACAGCATGGCCAGGTGGAGCCATTTGGGAGCCCAGGTCTCCCCAGTCTTACTTTGGCAGGGCACTGTGGCTGAATGGGGCTAGGAATTCCCAGAGCCACCTGCAGAGCCAGGCCCTCCCTCCCAGCTACCCCTTCCCCAGGTGGGCAGGTGGGAGCCCACAGGCTGCCAGGCTGCTTCCTGCAGTTTCCTGGAAGAAAGRTCTCTGCTTCTGGCATTCTGAGCAGGCCACCTGCTGGGCAGGCTGCCACTCAACCCTCTTTCTGTTTCTTCTCCAGGTTTGGTGGAGGGGAACAAGGTGAGGGGCATGTGTGCGGCTGGGTGATGTCTAAGGGAACCCTGGGGCCAGTGTCCTGTGCTGCTGCTTCCCCCGCACTAGCCCCTCACCTGCTACAACCCTAAGGGAAGTGCTCTCTGAGCCATCTAGCATCTGACCACCCGATTCACAGTGGGGAAGCCTGGGGCTCCAAGGGAGGGGCTGTGGCTGTGCTGTTCTCCACCTGCCGAGCTGCTCAAGTGCTCATCAGCAAAGRCAGCCCTGGGCCAGTTCTTCCTTGATGTGGCCACCTTCTTTGGCTTCTTGTTCCTTATGCAGTAAAAGCTGTAGCCTTCTGTCTGGTATTCTCAGCCCTGAAGGCCCTGCCGAAGCCTATCTAGCTTGTCGTCTATCAAAGAGGGGAAAGCACTGAAATGCAGGCTGCAGGAGGACAGTTGCTGGACAGCAGGGCCTGSTCAGTTTCTGAGGCCCTGAGGTCCTCTTCTTCCCATTGATGCCACTTGGGGGCTCAGTCTGAAAAAGCCAGGAGCCTGGCTGTTCACCATCAGTGAACGAGGTTTGTCTCAACTTACCTTTTCTGAGTTCCCCAGGGCCCAGGTCTTGGGCAGAGTAAGACCAGCCAGTCATACAGGTTCCCTCCCGACATCCCCTGGGTGACCATCGTCAGGCATTTTGCTCCAGGGCCTGGCCTCTTTCAGCCTCCCTTATTCAGTTTCGTAGAGTCCACACATTGGCTCTGTGAGCTCTGTCCTGGGCTCATGCTCACCTGCTCTGACTATATCAGGCTTTCCTGATCTGAAGAGTCCAGCACTGGTGGGAGTCCAGCAGAGTGGGAGCCCCTCTGAGCCCTGCAGTGCTGGATACTTGGCATTCTGCCTGAGAGGTAGGGCCACGGGGCTCATGCAGCCAGCATCTGAGGCAGGCTTATCTGAAGGCTCCCACCATGAGGCCTGGTAGGTTCGGGCAAGAGCCTGTGAACATCTGCTACTTGTTTCCTGTTTCACACCTACCTGTCTTCTAAGCTCATCCCATTTTACAGTTGAGGGAACAAAGGTCAGCGAGGCCAACATCACACAGCTAATAAGTGGCAGAGCTGGACCTGGGACTTGGGTTCAAGGTTACCACAGTGAGTCTCTTCTACATCATGTACAACCACAAAACTGGGCTCCTAATTAGAGTAAGATACACTCCATTTTTGTATAAATGAGTCAAATTATACTCTAGTGTCACGGATAACTAACAACAACAACAAAACAACAATTCTCAAGGGCAGGACTTCTCAGAGCCTTCAAAACTGATATGAGTGCTGAGAATCTTCAAGAGAATAGGCAGGCAGCGTTTTCCATATTTAGAAGAAGTAAGAACAGGGACTGTGAAGCAGTCCATCCTCGGTTCTGATCCCAGCTTCCCCCTCTCTTTAAGCCTCAGTTGCTTCATTTGTAAAATGGAGGTAATTATCCCTACCTTAGAAGTAAGAGGGTTAAATGGCACAAGGACCATCCACGCAACACTCAGTCACCATTAACTGCTGCTCCATGTGACCTTGCAGCCTCTCAGCCACTTCCAGGGCAGCCTACTCCTCTTTACTGTAAGCCCCTTCTTCTCTGTGTCAGATCCAGACCTGAGTTCTGGAGCTTAGGTGATTCTGTTCCAAGCATAGCAAGACGGATCTCCCTCCATCCCATCTTAACTCCCAGTTCTGTTCATTTTTGCTGAGGTCACAGACCTTTTTGAGGGGCTTTTGTCTTACTCTCTGCTCTCTGGGAGCTTGTGGTCACCTTTAACCCCCAGATCTTGTTTTCGTGAACACTGCCCATCCTTGGCTTATTCTCTTGCCTGTACTAGAATGGGGGCTTGACTTCCCCTGTTCAGTTATCCCCCACTCGGACTCTAGGTTGTTAGCAAACATTTCTTGGTTGAGTTGATCAACCTGTAATGACCCTCTCTCTCTACAGTGTCTTCCAGCGCCTTTCTTAACCTCCATATTTCCTGGCATACAATGAGAACTGTTATATGTCCTGCTCTGTGGTGGTACTAAGCTCTCCCCAGCCCTGGCTCAGGACAGGATGGGTCATTTGTCAGGCAGGTCCTAGCAGACCCTCAGGAACTCCTTGTCCTCTGGAACCACTTTGTTGGGTGCTGGTGCCAAGTTTGCCTGTCTACTGTCTATAGTTTCTGAAAGACTTATTCTTTTTTTAATCTTTTTTTTTTTTTTAGTTCTAGATGGACACTTTTATTTATTTTTATTGGTGCTGAGGATCAAACTTAGTGCCTCACAGATGTTAGGCAAGGGGTTTGCCACTGAGCCACAACCCCAGCCCCTGAAAGACTTATTCTTTTGATCTTTTTTTCAGGGTACTTTTTCTCATTTTGTACTGTTTCTTTTAAATGAGATAATAATGCATTGGAAATACTTAGCAAGTGCCCCAAATTCATTCATTCATTCATTCATTCATTCAGCAGATATTTATTGGGAGATAGAATAGAGGCTCCCTAGATGGCATGGTGGAGGGTGGAGGCTGGAGATAGGGTGAGAGATGAGATGAGGGGAGATAGAAAGGATGCTGTTCCAGGCTGAGGGCACAGCATGAGTAAAGGCCCTGTGTTAGGAAGAGTCATGGGATTCTGAGAGAAAGACAGAGTGGTTGGAAGCAGCGAGTGAGTGGCATGAGGTGAGGGGAAGCCAGAAAGGAGGGCAGGTGTCCGACCAAACAGGCCTGTAGACTAGACTGGGAACTTTTGCCTTACCCTGTGGACTGTGAAGATCATTATCTTAAGGAAGGCATGGTGTGATTGGGTTCGAATTTCAAAGAGAGGTGACTGAGCCACCAGTCTATCGGTGGCCTGGAAGAGCCAAAGTATAGAGACACTTGTAGCAGCACTTCAGAGAAGAGATGCTGGCACTTGTTCTGGGCAGTGGCCCAGAAGCGAAGAGATAGACTCAGGCAAAGCTCAGGAGACAGAATTAGTTGGATGTGGGGGAGAAGGGTGGTGAGGGGCTCCTGGGTTTCTGGCCTGAATATGGTGGCACGTKGCATGTTTCTCTTCACCATGTCTGACCTTGAAAGTGTCATCCACCCCCATGATCAGGGGCTCTCGTGCCCTTTTCATGGGGTTTATTTTCTCTGCTCGTGTTTTTTATTTTTAAAAACATATTGTCCATTTGAGTATTATTTTTTTATTAGTTGCTCAAAACATTACAATGATCTTGACATATCATATGACATACATTTGATTCAAATGGGGTAAGAATTCTCATTTTTCCACGTGTACAGGTTGCAGGATCACATTGGTTATGCAGCCATGTTTATACATACAGCCATACTAGTGTCTGTTGTATTCTGCTGCCCTCCCTATCCCCTTCCTATCCCCCTCCCCTCCCCTCCCCTCCCCTCCCATCTTCTCTCTCTACCCCATCTACTGTAATTCATTTCTCTCTCTCTTTCTCTCTTTTTTTCCCCTTCCCCCTCACACCATCTTATATGTAATTTTGTATAACAGTGAGGGTCTCCTTCCATCTTGAGGGCAGAAGCTTGGCCCAGAGGGCACAGCTCCACCTACTGGAAGAGTATTATTTTTCTAGATTTCTTGCTGGAAGTCACTTCACGACCAACCTCTGCTGCCATCTCTGCCCATTGGGAACCCAGCAGCTGTCCCCAGTTGTGGACTGGCTTCTTGTTCTGAGGGTGTTTTAAAAGAACAGATGGCCCACGCCTGTAATCCCAGTGGCCTGAGAGGCTGAGGCAGTAGGATTGCAAGTTCAAAGCCAGACTCTGCAAAAGCAAGGCACTAAGCAACTCAGTGAGACCCTGTCTCTAAATAAAATACAAAATGGGGCTGGGGATGTGGCTCAGTGGTTGAGTGCCCCTGAGTTCAATCCCCAGTAACAAACAAATAAACAAAAAACAGATGGCTGTTCCCTTTCCCCTGCACCTTAAGGCACCTTCTATCTCTTGGGGTGACCCTCTCTTATGGGACTCAGTAGGGATCCTCCATGTAGCCATGGGGGCCTCCGGCAGACATGCACACCTGTCTCCTTGGCCCCATGGCTGTCAGCCTCAAGGAGGACAGGATGGCAGAGCAGTGGGAGACTTTGCAGGCCTGTACCCACCCCTGTCCTGCCCCCCACCCCCACCCCATTCTGCCCTGGTTTTGTACCTTAAGGGAGGGCTCATTCTTGGGAAGCTGGTCCCCACAGCAGGAGGGGCTACAGGGCTGTCTCCGGCCAAGGGCAGAGCCAGGGCCCTGACAGGAGCCAATCAACCAACACTTGGAGGTCTGAGTTGCCTGTGCTGGGTGGAGATGGGATTGGCACTTGAAAGCAGATCCCAAATTGGTGCTCAGGACAGATTGTGGGGCTAGGAGGAGGCCTGGGAGGCCTTCCTGTGCTCCCTGGGTTATTGTACTGCTTGTGTGTGTGGTATGCATTGGTGTGGGTGCATCTATCACTGTGCGTGCAGCTCTGTGCACCTGTGTGTGTGGCCTGCATCCCCTGCATGTTTTGGGATGGGTGTTGGTTGCCTACGTCCTGGTTACAGCCTAAACCACCCATCTCTTGGACAGGTGGCCGGCTTGTTTCACCACCCCAGCATTGGGAATCCCATCCACATCACCATTGTGCGCCTGATCCTGCTAGAAAATGAGGAGGTGAGAGGAGCCCCATCCGGACCCATGGCAATGGGCATTGGCTTCCAGTGCCCTCCTGCCCCATAACCTGAGCCGGCCTGTGTGGAAGAGCCCAGTGTCCCCTGTCACCYTCTGGTTCCTGACTCACCTTCTGTCAGGTCTCAGGTCTCCCCAAGATATGTAGCAGGAGGGGTGGTCAAGCTGGAGGCCTGGCTGTTGTGTGTCCTCCCACTGCCCTTGGGGCCTCTGACTCCCGTCTTTCTATGGAGAAGAATTGAACCTGTCCCTGTGGGAACTCAGGGGGAGGCATGAGCAGTAGTCCTCTCTGCCCCCAGGAGGACTTGAAGATCACACACCATGCAGACAACACCYTGAGGAGCTTCTGCAAGTGGCAGAAAAGCATCAACATGAAGGGGGATTCCCACCCCCTGCATCACGACACTGCCATACTGCTTACCAGGTACCCACACATGGAGGGTGGGCGAGGGGTGGGAGGGCTGCATCTGAGGGAGGACTCTCTGAGTCTCAGGGGAAAAGCCTTCTGGGGAGACACAGCCCTGCTCTTACGGAGCCCTATTTTAAGGAGAGGCTTGCAACTCTGGCCCAAGGCTGCATTGCATCAGCACTTGGAGATCTATCATCTATCTGTCTATCTATCTATCTATCTATTTCTTTCTTTCTTTCTTTCTTTCTTTCTTTCTTTCTTTCTTTCTTTCTTTCTTTCTTTCTTTCTTTCTTTCTTTCTCTCTTTCTCTCTTCTGTCTCTTTCTTTCCCTCCCTCCCTCCCCCCTCTTTCTTTCTTTCCCTCCCTCCCTCCCTCCGTCCCTTCCTTCCTTCCTTCCTTCCTTTCTTTCATTTTTGTTCTGGGGATTAAACCCTGGAGCTCTTTACCACTGAATTACATCCCTAGTCCTTTTTATAAATTTTTAATTTTGAGACAGGGTCTTGGTAAGTTGCTTAGGGCCTCACTAAGTTCCTGAATCTGACCTCAAACTTGCAATCCTCCTGTCTCAGCCTCTGGAGCCGCTGGGATTACAGGCATGTGCCACTACACCCAAATTTCAAAATAATTGTGGATTCCCATGCAGTTATCAGAAATAATACAAAGAGGCTCTGTGTACCCTCCATCCAGTTTCCCCTACTGGCAGTATATTGCATAACTGAAATATAATATCCCACTCAGGAAGTTGACAAAGATATGATCTGCAGACCCTCGCAGGTCTCATTGGTGCTACATTCACCTTGTGTGTGTGCTGTTCAGTGCTGWGCAGTTTTATCACCTACTGAGGTTTGTGTATCCATCACCTCTATTCAGATTCAGGGAGTTGCATCAGAAGGAGATCTCATGCCACATGTTTCTAGTCACAGCTGCCTCCCTCCCTCCTCTCCCCAATCTCTGGCATCTGCTAATCCTTTTAGGGGCAGTGTTTTTAAGCTCCAGGTGGTTATTTTCCCTCTGCTGGACTCTGGCCACTTCTGTCAGCACCCTTGCTGGAATAGCACCAAAACTGTTCTAGGCACACATCTGCTTCCCAAACCCAGATAGGTGTCCAGGGGATTGTGTGTACACAAGGGCACCTGCTAAGTTGCTTAAGGCCTCACTAAGTGAGGCCATCCCAAGTGGCCACCATGTTGGCCTGATGACCTGATATTTTGGAGTGGTGGGAGGGGCATCCTGGCTTCCTCTGTCCAGGTTAGCATGGGTCCTTCCTCAGCCTCCTTCAGCCCTGGACCAGGTCAGCTTAAAAGCTGCTTCTCTCTGTGCAGGAAGGACTTGTGTGCAGCCATGAACCATCCTTGTGAAACCCTGGGCCTGTCTCATGTGGCAGGCATGTGCCAGCCACACCGCAGCTGCAACATCAATGAGGACACTGGCCTCCCTCTGGCCTTCACCGTGGCCCACGAGCTCGGACACAGGTACCATGCCTACCCTCACTGCCACACTACAAACCCAGCTCTGCCTTCCCACCTTGGGAGCACTGGCTCCTACCCTCATGGATCCCAGAATCCCAGGGAATGGAAACTATCTGGGGCGGGAGCCCTGACTCTGTCCCAGCATCCCTGGGACTGATCTGAGGCTGGTCTTATTTCAAGGGGGTTGGGAAGGGCCAGATCATAGGCTGTTGGCTGTTCCTCCTCGTTGCCCTTAGTGCTTGCATGTTTTGCTGTTCTTCCCCACTCTGTCCCTATTTCTACTTTCTCTGTGACCCTGGCCTCTGTGAGCTCCCCATAGACTGAAGGGGTTGGATCCAGCAATGACCAAGACTCCCTCTATCTGACATCTCTGCCTGGGACTCTCATGTCTCTGTGTGGCCCAGGCCCTCAGCCACCTGAGCCCGGGCTGTTTAGCTGGTGAATGGTGGCCTCTGGGGGAAGATTGGAAAGCCACAGGGCAAGCTCCCTAAGAGTTTGTTGTTCAGAAGTTTTGGGGTCATTCATTCAGATGTTCTGGGTGACATTCTTGCCTGCAGGGCCTTGAAACTGTCTGTGGTAGAAAGAAACCTCTGCCCTAATTCTGCCATTTCCTGGCTGTTATGCTGGCTAGTTCCTTGGTCTCTCTGAGCCCCTATGGGGGTGATAATGAGGGCTGAGTGAGATAGTGCTCTGAAAGTGCCTAGCATGGTGCCTGACATAGTAGGTGCTCAGGAATTAGAATTTTTCATGTGTCCTTCCCAAGGATGTTGAGACCTTTTTGTGATACGGTAGCTCAGATTGCAAATACATAGCCTTGGGATGAGGACCTGGAGGTTGCGGGACCTCTGTTAGACTCTTCTTGGCACCAGTAAAGTTGTAGGGCCATTGTTGGCCAGCTCTGGGGGCAGGAGCAGAGCCATTCTGAGGCCCCCCACTCTCATTTCAGGCACAGGTTGATGCACCTAGAGGAGGACCACATGGGATACTAACTGTCATACCCACGTTTTGCATTAAGGAAACTGAAGTGCAGAGAGGGGGTGTGGCTATCCCAAGGTCGCACAGCCCTTCAGTGGCAGAGCCAGCCTTGGGAACTAGGACTGTGCACCTTGCAGGCCTCTGGGGGGGTGGGGTGGCCTGGTGGCCTCCTGCCCCTGGGCTTACCCGCCCCTGGGGCCTGTGCTCTCACACAGTTTTGGCATTCAGCATGACGGAAACGGCAATGACTGCGAGCCCATTGGGAAACAGCCTTTCATCATGTCTCCACAGCTCCTGTACGACGCAGCTCCGCTCACCTGGTCTCGCTGCAGCCGCGAGTACATCACCAGGTTCCTCGAGTAAGTCCCTCCCCAGCCCTAGGCATCTGTTCATGAGGTTGCAGGCAATGCAAGGGGTGCAGACAGTGGCAGCAGGGTGCCAGGGTAAAGAGATGTGTGGAGGAGCACCTGAGAGGTGTTGGCCGGGGGTCCTCAAGGTCCTGCTGGAAGGGAYGCCCACATTGCATCCTGGAGGATGAGCAGGAGCTCACAAATGTATAGGTAGAAGGAGAATGGAGCCCCTGCGAGAGGAAGGCCAGCCAGGACTGCAGACACGGAGGGGCTCAGTGGTTTTCAGGAACGGCAAGGCAGTGAGTGAGGCTAGCCAGCCACTGCTGGGCGGGAAGAGGCTGGAGGGTGAGCAGGGCTGGCCACGCAGTTCAGTGAGAATCAGGAAAAGTGCCATGAAGGGAACAGAATAGAAAGCTTTTTGCTTYCCTTCATGGTTTCTTAATATGTTAAAGATATTTTATATTTCCTATTTAATGTTATTCTAAATAAGAGAACATTTTTAATTTAAATTAATAGCATAATTTTACTATTTCTCTTCACTTTGTGCAGTGCGATCATGCGGTTCTAGAGATTGGACCCAGGGTCTGGCACATTCTAGGCAAGTGCTCTCCTACTGGGCTACATCCCCAGCCCCTAGTGCCAGTTTTATTTTATTTTATTTTTTTGGTACCAGGGATTGAACCCAGGGGTTAACCACTGAGCCCCATCCCCAGCCCCTTTTATTTTGTATTTTGAAATAAGATCTCACTGAGTTTGTTAGGGCTTCGCTAAATTGCTGAGGCTGGCTTTGAACTCGTGATCCTCCTGCCTCAGCCAGCCGCCTGAGCCWCTAGCATTACAGGATGTGCCAGAGCATCAGCTTAGTGCCAGTTTTAAACGCATATATAAGAATAATTAAGGGGCTGGGGTTGTGGCTCTGTGGTAGAGCACTTGCCTAGCACGTGCAAGGCCCAGGGTTCGATCCTCAGCACCACATAAAAATAAAGGTATTGTGTCCCAAGTACAACTGAAAAAAAAATTAAAAAAAGAAAAGAATATTTAACATGCAATATCCACACAATTGCCCAGTTCATCTTTCAGAGTGTATTTTACTGGAGCAGTGAATATGCGGCACAAAACTAATTTGGTTATTTTCAGAGTTATTTTCCTCAATGATCTGTGCACATTCTCCCAATACTCAAGCTTGCTGATGAGGAAAAAGCCCTAAAGGAAAAATAACTCATCTTTTCCTGTCATCCGGTGTCATAGTTGACAGTGTGGTGATTGGCTAAGGCGCTTAACACAAGGAAGAAAGGAGACTGGGTTCCTTGTTATTCCTGTTTCTTAAGATTGTCATTGACTTCTTTCTGCATTGGAAGCAAGTTCTGGTTCATGTGGAAAGTGTGGCCTCTGGGGCTGTTGATCCCCTTTCTCAGTCCTGGACATAACAAACTCATCTTGGCATCTGGGTTTTGCAGCTCACAGAACCTCTATACATTGTGGGTCTCCTGGGATACTGTGCTCATGAGCAAAGCAAATGCTCAATGCAAATGGGGTGGCAAGGAATGATGGACGCAGACACTGGTGCATGTCTCCTCTGCTCATGCACATGCTCCTGTGCATGATCTTGCTTACAAAGCTCAAGTTTAGAGACACTGAGAATTCAAGATGGCAACAGTAGAGCCTTAACTCATCTGTCCACCCCTCTCCACCCCCACTATTTTTTCTCTAAACAACCACTTTCAGTGTTGACTCTTCTAGCTTTTTTTTCTGAATTTACTTTCATATTTCCAAAAAGCATTTCTAGACTGATATTTCTCAATTTTTTTAAAGATATTATCTGGAGGGTTGGGATTTCGTCCTCTTGCATCATTTCCTGCACACACACATATGCTCCCCCCACCTCTCCCACTATAGTGATAACATATTTTRATTAAGTCCTTGTTCATAATAATAACTATGTAATTTTTTTAAACTAAGTGTTGTAACAAGATGACATTTCTTTTTAAGAACAAGTAATTTTTCTTTTTTGCCTCATTTTCTTTGCTTTCCACATCCTCTAATAGTTCTACAAAATGCCTGAGTGCAGTTTTCCAGAAGATAATCCCTACCAGATAAAAGTTCCCTTGTTGCTTAGACCTTCTCCCCAGTTTCCCTCTGTCTTCCAGTCTAGACTGAATGCTTTTTTAGGCCTGACCTAAAATTGCCATGTAAAGTTTTCCTTTTTCCTGGATCCCATACTACTTTTTGAGAGTGGGAGAAGTTACCTTTTGATTTTATGTTTGTTTTGGTGAAGCACATCCTCAAGCAGCTTTCTAAAAAAGGGTGTATAGAGGTAAATGGTTTGCCCATCTCAAAGTGTCTTTATTCTTCCCTCTCATCTGCTTGATAGTTTGATTGGATATCAGCTTCTAGGTTAGAAGTCACTCTCCCTCAGCGTGTAGAAGGTGTTTCTCATTGTCTTCTAATTTTGCAGCCCTGCTTTGGGGAGCCTTCTGATTCCCAAGCTTTTGAATATGACCTTTCAGGAAGTCTGGAAGCTTTTAGGGTTCTCTGTCTCTTTCTCTTTTTTGGTGATTTTAAATTTCACAACTATGTCCCTTGGTTTATTTTTATTTTTGGGCACTCAGTGGACCCTCTTAATCTAGAAACTCATGTCCTTTAGTTCTTGAAAATGTTCTTGTATTATTTACTTGGTAATCATCTCTCCTCTGTTTTTTCTTTCTGGAATCCTTCATATTCAGCTTTTCTCTCTTACTTTCTAATTTTTAAACTTTCCCCCTGATATCTTCCTATTTTCTGGGAAGCGGAAATTTATTCTTCTATTAAAATACTTACAATCCTTGTTAGTTTTTTAAAAAATATTTTTCTATTGTGCTTTTCATTTCCTGAACTTTCTTTCTTTTTCTTTTCCTTTCTTCCTTCCTTCCTTCCTTCCTTCCTTCCTTCCTTCCTTCCTTCCTTCCTTCCTTCCTTCCTTCCTTCCTTCCTTCCTTCCTTCCTTCCTTCCTTTCTTTCTTTCTTTCTTTCTTTCTTTCTTTCTTTCTTTCTTTCTTTCTTTCTTTCTNCTTTCTTTCTTTCTTTCTTTCTTTCTTTCTTTCTTTCTTTCTTTCTTTCTTTCTTCTTTTTCACTGTGTGCATAGTGCTGGGGATTGAACCCAGGGCCTTGTACATGCGAGACAAGCACTCTACCAACTGAGCTATATTTCCAACCCTCTGATCTTTCATATTCACTAAATATTTCTTTTATTATCCTGTTCTTATTTCATAATTACAATATCTTATCTTTCTGAGGTGATTACAGTAACATGGATTTTTCTTTTTATTCTTCCTGAAATACTTTTCTTTTCTTTGGGTTATTTAAAAAAAAATCTTCCTTTCATGTTAAAGGTGTTCTCTAAACATGTTGGCTGTATTTCATACATGGAAGGAGACAGAGATACCAGTTGGGAGGTCTGCGGACTTGGCCAGGTCTCTTTCCTGTCACTCATGACAGATTGATTGAGATGGAACTGTCTCTTTGGGAAATCCTCAAGTGTCAGTATCTAAGGTCATTTTTTTTTTTCCTGAGTGATTTAGTGYCTCCAGAGAAGAATCTTCTAGTCTTTTCCTGGGAGAGTGTTAAGTCCAGCAGCAGCATTCTGGCATCCAAAAAGGCAAGGGACTTGTAGGGTGTCTCACCTTTTATGGTGTGGACTATTACTTGTCCCCTTTCCCTGTAGGACCCTGCATTGGACCTTCATCTGTGTCTGGCATTCCTGGACCAGAGCTTCCTAGTTCACCCTTTTCAGAGAGTGACCCCAGACCCTAGGGCAAGTTGGTGACAGTCACTTAGTCACCCAAGGGTGGGGAGGGAATAAAGGTCCAATTAGTTTTTAAAGACTTTGAACTGGGCTTCCATCCCTAGTCCTACTGGCCCCTGGGACCTCAAATGCTGAGCTGTCCAGGTGTTGCTTCTCTGTGGTTTCTCCCTGCAACCACCTGCAGCCTCTCTCATTGTTAAGTTAGCCATTGCYTGACCATGTGCTTCCTGGTTTCAGAATTTTGTTGACATCTTTTATTTGCCATCATCACTTCTCCCATATCCTCTGCCTGTGTAGATTTATGTCTTGTTTATTCTCTAAATGTTACTGTGGACTTTGGAAGGAGGCAGAGATAAATCTGTCGCCCGATGTGCCACATTTCTCCAGAAGGCTCTCTCCACTGTGGGTTTTCAGCAGGAATGTGACCAGACCCATTAGGACTGTAGAAGCATGGATGCTGGCTTCCCATGGAGGAGGGCCTACTAGAATGAGGAGTGGGATTGGAAGCAGAGAAAAATGTAGTTGGGTGTTTTAGAACCTGGACTCTGGCCCAGGCTTCCTCCCGTGTGAGCAGACAAGTTACAGTATCCTTTAAGCCTCAAACATGGGGATGATGATGTGTCTGGGTTATGCATTTGCTATCAGGATTAAATGAAAAAACACATGTAGCGTTTAGCACAGTGCCTACCACATGGTCAACAGTCAATAGTGGTAACAGCTATGATTACTTTCTCCCTATTACCAAGTGGTGTATCACATGGACTTGAGCTAGGGAAATGGCCTAGGGATGGAGAGGAGGGTGTCCCCCTCTGCGGAGCAGAGCAGAGAATGAGAGAACGGTGGGAAATCAGAATAGTAGGCACCTCTGAAATACCCCCCAGGCTTGTTCCCAGCTGCCCCACCCAGGGTGCCACCCAGCACCCTGGCTCTGGGACAGACAGGCAAGTCTCTGTCCTCATTCAGTTGCTGGAATGTATGAGGGACTTGGCCCTGGGCCTGGGGTGAGGGTGGGAGGAGAGCCTGCGCCAAGCAGGCCCTGCCAGAGCCTTGACACTGGGAAGAGCAGGGCAGAGGCTGAAGACAGAGCTGCGTGCTCCACTGAGTAGGGGGTGCTGGAGAGGAAGAATGGCATCTCCCCGAGGTCAGCTCATATCTTCACCTTCCCATCTGGTAAGGCAGCAGGGGTATCTGAGGAGAAAGTGGAAGATGTGGACACCAAAACGGGCCGTGGCATCTGTTTCCCAGCTCCCAGCCTTGGGTTTCTTTGCTGAGGGTGGGACAGGAGACAGGCTCCACCCCAATGAGTGAGATTCATAAAAGGTGCCAAATGCAAGGGCAAGCAGTGTTTGCAGGGCTTGGGGACGTTCTCAGAGGCACATGCAGACCATTCACTCTCCCTGTGGGACTTGATGACGACATCCCCCGGTTCTCTGCAGATATCTGTTTACCAGGCCACTTAGACCCAGACAGAACTGAATCCAGACTCTCACCCTTGCTGTGTCCACAGACCTGTGTATGTAAAGCCCTGGGGGGACAGTGGTGAAGGAGACGAACTGGTGTCTAGGCACAGGCCCTCGCCATCTGGGGGAGGCAGACAGATGATAATTTGAGGYGATTATTGCTGTGGCAGACAGCCCTGTGGGGCTAGTCTGAAAGCAAAGAGGGACACCCACCTCTCCTGGGGTCAGGGATAGATTTCTGAGAAGGCTTCTGGAGCTGCCCACTAAAAGTCAAAGTCAATGAGGAAGGAGGAAGCTCTTGGTAGAAGGCAGGGCCCCGGCTGTGGTCAGGGACATGGGGGCCTGGCGTGTGCTGAAGAGTCTTCTGGGACTGGCAGTGGGTCTGGGAGATTTTTGGAGCCAATCCAAAGCAGCTGACCTGAGGAACCCCAAGAGTCATTTTGAACTGAGAAGAGTTTTGAGGGACCCTGGGGTCAATAGGTAGTTGCTCTAGTCACCAGTAGCAGGCCCGTGGGAGCCATGGGCTCCGCAAGTCAGCACAGAGGTCATGGTGTTCACGAGCCTCTACTTGAACTGGAGGTCAGTGAGGGGAGGCTCTGTTCATCCCTGCCCTCAAAGCCAGGGTTGCTGCAGGGAGAGAGAGGACCAGTCATGGGTGGGCCCTTCACTTCATCCATGATGCCCACTGTCCAGTGGCTTTGTGACCAGAACCTGGGGATGGTAAGGGGAGAGAATGAATGCACAGGAGGTCCCACAGGTGGTAGGCAGCTCTTGGCAATCTCAGGTGAAAGTGAGGCTTCCTTCCAGAAGTCACTTATTGGCCCCTGTTCAGGGGCTGCTAGCCCGGCTATAATTAGCACAAGGAGGGGCCTGGAGGGGAAGGGCTGATGGGCGTGGGGATCTGGGGGTGAGTCCGCAGTGTTGAGGAACCTGGCAGTGGGCCCGTCAGAGGAGGGAAGGGCCGGCTCCTGGCCATCCCTGTAACTTCCCAAGTCGACATTGCTATTTGTTCTTCTGTAGCTTGGGATTAGCCTCTTGTAGATGAGGACGTGAGGCCCGAAGAGGGTACAGGGGAGCCTAAGTCCACACAGCATCCACAGCTGGGCAGAGAGCAGAACTCGGATTTCTGACTCCCCAAACAGTCCCAAGGGCCGGCTGTGGCCCTGAATCGGGAAGTGAGTCCTGTGAGGGGTGCCTCATGCCCCACAGGGTCAGATAAGTGCCCTAGTCCACATCCATTTGTCACAGTATACTAGAGGGAAAGAGGGGCCCCAGGGCCAGGCTGGCCCCAGTCCCTCCAGCTGACACTGCTCCAGCATGCAGGCCCAGGGAGCTCTGAGCCACAGCAAGCACTTGGGGACACTTTCTCTCTGCCAGGCCTCAGCTGCATGGTTTTGAACTTGTTTCTGGGGTAAAGTATTTGAGGCTGGGCTCAGGGGTCGTCTGTGAGGAGCCCTATCTCGGGGGCAACACAGTGAGTGGGTACAGTGAGTGGGCACTGGCAGCTTGGGCTTTGGATCCTTGACCCAGGGCAGGTGACAGACCATTCTGAGCTCTGTGTGTGTAAGGACAGTGGCCTTCTGCCTAGGATGCTCTGAGAAGGGCAATGTGAGGGCACAAGCCATGTACCCAGGGCCAGCCTGGCATGTAGTCATCAGGGCACAGGGTGTGTCCAACAGCAGCTCATTTGCCATGCCCATGTTAGAGGAATCCATTGGTTCCAGGAACACCCCCAGGGCCCTCATCAGGGTTTACCACTGAGTTCTCTGCAGCTCTAGGTGGGTCAGGGCCCTGTCACCAGCCAGGACTCCACACAGACCACCCACCCACACCAGGTCTCACAGCTACCTGGCCTCTACCTCTGAAAAATAAACTCCAGTATTCCAGCCACCCTCTAAGCCTCTCTCCACACCTTCAGTGGTGGCAATGGCCCTGTTTCTCCATCCTGTCATCTTCTGCCAGCCTCTCCATATCCTGAGGTATCTCCTATCTTCCTGCCAGACCCCAGGATCTACCACCTCTGCTCTTAGTCTGGTGACCCCTGACACTGCCCATCCCAACTAGCACTCTCTGCTCATTTTGGCTCCCTAGCCTGACACCTGACACCTTAGCCTCCCAGGCCGGAAAATTGGAAGGTTTCTGCTCCTGCTTCCTGCCTGGCCAAGGCCCCCATCCTGCAGGCCCTGCCTTGTCTATTGCCTCTGTCCAAGTCCTTGCTGCCTGAGCCAGCTCCCCATCCCTGACCTTGGCCTTGCTCCACCCAGCCCCCCATCCCTGTCCCTGGCCTTGCTGCCTGAGCCAGCTCCCCATCCCTGACCTTGGCCTTGCTCCACCCAGCCCCCCATCCCTGTCCCTGGCCTTGCTGCCTGAGCCAGCTCCATCCCTGATAGCCTGGCACATTTCTCCTAGCTTCTGCTGTCTCCAGAAGGCCCCGGGGCATTTCCTCTTGATCCTCCAGGACAGCAGGGAGCCCAGAAGTGGGGTTATTGGGTCAGTGTATTCATGCCCAGGGCCCAGCTGAGGCTGCAGGATGGCCACTGGCCCTTAGGGGCAATCTAGTTGTGCACAAGGGGCACACAGAGTGAGGAGGGGCAAAGGCAGCTGAGCCAGGCCTGGGATGTCCTCCTCAGGGCCCCTGTGCCTCAGTGTGCTCCTGTCTGCTGGTGTGTCTGGGCTGCCACACCTTCTGACCATATCTGCTGGAGTTCTTGACATACATAGGCTGTGCCTGCTCGGGTCTGCCAGTCCCTCTTCTGCTGCCAGGTAATGATGGCTGGAGGAAGGCAAAGACCCATAGGGAGAAATAGAGGCAAGGAGGCCAGTCCTGGTGGAGTGGGGAGGTGGGCAGGACAGCCTCTGGGCTCTCTCTCAGAGAGAGAGGAGGTGGAGGGCTACTTCCTAGACCTGGCCTTCCACAGATGACCTAGGTCTTTGCCTGGGGTGGGGTCCTTAGAGGCCCTCTGTTGTGACAACTGTGATGTGATGTTCTCCAGACCTTGTCCAGCCTGGCTCCAGGGTCAGGGCCAGGGGCTGAGGCTGCAGGAAGTCAGAACCAGGCCATGCAAACGGCTTGCAGATCCAGGCCTTTGAGGGAAGAGCACCTGTACGACACCTGGAAGAGGGCCTGCACCAGCAGAGCTGGAGTGCAGTGCGACAATAGCTGTGCCCAGGCCTGGCCTTGGGTGGGGGGCAGCTCAGCTGGCTGGAGTCCCTGGGAGATGACAGGGGTCTGGAGGGCTGTTGTGCTAGGCCCATCACTGGGGGATCGGCTGAGCCACATGGGGAGCCTGTTGTGTTTCTATAGGGTCTACAAGTTTGCTATGCCAATTTCCACCTCACCTGCCCTTCCAGCCCCACTGAGGCCTCTCTAATGGCACAGGTAGCCCCTCACCTCATCTTCCTGTTCTATCTCTACAGTCGTGGGTGGGGCCTGTGCCTGGACGACCCTCCTGCCGATGATGTCGTCAACTTCCCCTCAGTGCCACCTGGTGTCCTCTATGATGTGAACCACCAGTGCCGTCTTCAATATGGGGCCTACTCTGCTTTCTGTGATGGCATGGATGTGAGTGTGGGCCAGGTGTGGGAATGGGGGATGGCAGTAGGACTTAGGGGACAGCCCTCACCAGTCTGCAGATGCCAGCCTGGGAGAAACCCTGCCTGGCCTGGCTCAGCCCCCATTTGGTGCAGTGAGACATAAAGTGACCTACTTGCGAGAGAGGCCTTGGGGTTAGGTGGGCCACAGACCCAGGACTGGATTTGGGGTTAACCATTTACCAGCTATAGGACCATGGGTAAGTTGCTCAGTGTCCCTGGCTCATAAGAGAGACAAACAAAACTATACTTGGGGGTCCTGGGGAAGATTGCAGGAAGTTGTAGCCAGAAGCATGTGACTGAGACCCTGTGACTTCTAATGGGAGTCTGTTCAGAGGAGTGGGCTGGGGCTGGGAGTGGTGTAAACAGTTGGAGACTGCTCTGAGCAGCAAACTTGAGCCTGGAGGTCTCCATATAGGGACCCCATGTCTCCTCATGGTTGAGGGGGAATGGGGGAAGGTGGAGCAAGAGGACACCTCTGGGGGTTATCACATCTGCAGACCTCTATGACACACCAGCTCTACAAAGGGGTGCCCAGGGGACCCTTGGGGACCTGAGGGGGTAGCATGGGTGAAGGCACTGGGGAGCTGGTGAGGGTATGGCCCATGTCTCCTCCTTGCAGAATGTCTGCCACACTCTCTGGTGCTCTGTGGGGACCACCTGTCACTCTAAGCTGGATGCAGCTGTGGACGGCACCAGGTGTGGGGAAAACAAGGTAGGAGAAGCTGCTGGCCCTGATTGTGGGGCGTGCTGCGGGGAGGCCCACCTCCTGCTGCCTGTGCTTTGGCATCAGGCTTAACTTAGTCTCACTTGTGCCCTTAGCAGACCCCAGCCCTTTCRGGCCCATTTTCCCATCTACAAAACAGGTATCGGGGAAGGTCTGGATGATTTTCCAAGGCATCTGCAGCTCAGAATCAACCCCTGGGCTCTGTTTTATTCCCTACTGCTTCACCATGGGGCCTGGGTTGTGGGTGGCTGTAAGGGCCTCTCTCATGCCTTCCATCTCTCTGTGCCTTTCGAGATCTTCCCACCCACCTCCTTCTCACTAGGGTGAGGATGACTGACGGGTGGGGTGGGTTGCTCTGCCTCCATGTGTCTCTGTAGTGGTGTCTCAATGGGGAGTGTGTCCCCATGAGCTTCCGGCCCAAGGCTGTGGATGGTGGCTGGTCCGGCTGGAGCGCCTGGTCTGTCTGCTCACGGAGCTGTGGCATGGGTGTGCAGAGCGCTGAGCGGCAATGCACACAGCCCACGTGAGTACTGGGCCCAGGGTGGGAGTGAAGCACCTAAGCAAAATCAGCAGATTGCAGGGAATTGAGCCTCTAGCTCTCACTATTTATTRTTCCTGTATTGGCCAAGTCAAGAGCATCTAAGTCACCTTGAATCACTTCAGGGAGTGACAACATTGCAGAGAAGGAAACACTGAGGCCTAGAAACTGGAGAAACTCATCAGAAGCCACACAGCACAGCAACAGCTGGCTGGAAGGAAGCAGGAGAGGGCAGTGGTTAGTGCTTAAACCCTGGGCCTTAAAGGATCAGGTTCAAATCCCCTTGACCCCTCATACAGGGGTCTTCCCTGACCATTCTCTGGGCCTGTTTCCTTGGCTATATAATGGGGTGATGACAGTGTCTACCTCATGAAGTTGCTGGCAGGGGTAAAGGCAGATAATACAGGGAAGGCGTTTGACCCTGGGATGAACTAGCAAGTTCTCAGCAGGTGCTGCTCAGTGACATCAGACGTATGACATGGTGTGCAGTGAGATTGGGGCAGCTGGAAGAATTGGGCAGCACTGAAGGGATGGCTGTGTGTCCTGGGTGGGTGACCACCCTCCCGGGCTCAGTTTCTCCATCTAACAGAGTCAATATGAAAATTTAGTGAGACACAGAGGCCCGCACACCAAGGGACTGCTGGCTTCTCTGAATGAGCCWCTTCAGTGGGGTCACCTGAGAGTCAGAGCCAGCCCCAGGTTTGTGCCTGCCCAGGGCTGTGGCCTGTAACTCCTTCTCATGTCCTGGCCTTGGCTGAGCCAGGTGGGGCTGGTCACCCTAGCCTAGATGGGGGTGGAGTTCAGGTGCTGTGCTCTGGCAGCCTTCTGGCTGGGTGGGCTCCTGGGACTTCCTTTTGACCCAGCCCAGGATATTGCCACCAGGTGCAAGTCTGCATGCTGGGCCTCATGGGCTGGTGTCAGTCATGTCCACTGTGTGTCCCAGCCTCTCAGCAGCCCTCTGAGGCAACCTGGAGGATAGCAGAACATTTGTCCGTAGCAGGTTGGGGACAGAACCCAGGTTTCTTGCTGCTGCCTTCCTTTAGTTCCTTACAAACAGAGAGCATGTATCTGGGCCAGAGGGTGGTCAGCTCGAGAGGGTAGCGCAGCATGAGCAAAGACGGGTGGTGGAGTTGGGGGTTACAGATCTAGCTCCATAGCAGACACTGGTGGTGTACTCATGTGGCTCCTTCCCTGGCTCTCCCCATAGGCCCAGATACAAGGGCAAGTACTGTGTGGGTGAGCGGAAGCGCTTCCGGCTCTGCAACCTTCAGGCCTGTCCCCCCGGCCGCCCCTCCTTCCGCCACATCCAGTGCAGCCACTTTGACGCTATGCTGTACAAGGGTCAGCTGCACACATGGGTGCCTGTGATCAATGACGGTGAGTCCTGCCGCCCGTGGGGACACTGAGGTCCAAAGGGCTGGAGACACGTGGGTCCAAGGTTACCCGTTGATACAGACAGGAGGCCCAGTTGTTAAGCCCTCAGCTCCTCCTCCCTTGGGGCTGCCACTCACTCCTAGCTCCTCAGCCTGCAGCTGTGCGGATAACTGCCAGCCAAGCCAGAGCCTCTAGCATGTTGGTGCTGCTCAGAGCCCCTGGCCTGCCACTGATGTGTGTTGCAGAGGGGTCTTTCTGGTGGCCTCCATAACACCTGCCTTGGCTGTTCCTGATGAGTCCTCTACTTGGGCCCCCAGTGAACCCCTGTGAACTGCATTGCCGGCCCTCGAACGAGTACTTTGCTGAGAAGCTGCGGGACGCTGTGGTTGATGGCACTCCCTGCTACCAGGGCCAGGCCAGCCGTGACCTCTGCATCAACGGCATCTGCAAGGTGTGCCTGGATAGCAGGAGGGTCTCCCAGGACCACCTGTCCCCAGCCCCACTGGCGGGCACCAGGTCCTTCTCTGGGTCTTTCCTGGCCCCTCTCCGGCTACTCTTCCCAGGCTGTACCATTGGGCATCCAGCCTCTGCCCCCTAATGACCTCACACTCCCAGCCTCTGCACTGCCACCTTCCCACCTCATCCCGCTGGCTGCCCACCACTGTCCTGGCATGCCTGCATGGCACAGAGCCTAGGCAAAAGCTCCACTGCTCCTGGCTGGATGAGCCCAGGCAATTGTGGCCTCTACAATAGGAAGGGTTAACAAGGTGGTACCTGTGCCATTCAGGACTCTGCACTGGCAAAGTTAGCCGTCAGTCTTTGGTAACAATTCCTGTTTTTATTTCTAGTAACCATGGTGGCCATTCCTCCCTGCTTATGTTCCCAGCYACCTTCTTACCCCGGCTTTTTGCCCTCTAAGCAGGGGGCATCAGAGGTGGACCAATAGGGAAGTGCTAAACTAGTGCCTTTGACAGTGAATCCTGTTTCTGGAAAATCCCTGTGCACACTGGTCGGGAGACCATGGTCTACCAGCTTCTCTGTCTTACTGCACCCTTTTRTGACTTTTCCTGTCTCTTGGCTCATGCATGCTCACAATATGCCTTTGAAGGATAGGTTGATCTCCCCACATCTGGGAAACAAAGGCTCAGGAAGAGGTTTGTGCAGGCTCAGACAGCACAACTGTGGTGGGCCAGGGCCCAGAGCAAGGACTCCTGACCCCTTCCAAGCTCTCTTCTCTCAACCCTGGAAGAACCATGGGGATGGAGACCAGAGAGGGCTGACAGCCCAGCACAAGGGGCCTCCTCTCTCATGTGTTGCAGAATGTGGGCTGTGACTTCGAGATTGACTCGGGTGCTGTGGAGGACCGCTGTGGTGTGTGCCATGGCAAYGGCTCCACCTGTCACACCGTGAGCGGGACCTTCGAGGAGGCTGAGGGACTGGGTATGGGTGGGGACTGCCGTTGGGGGAGGGGGTTTGTTCTTAAGCTGGTGGCCTCTTCCTCATCCTCAGGGCTTCTGTGGTCCCCACTCAGACTAGAGATGGCAAGCCTGCCTGGAGCAGGATCCTTGCAGGAGTCAGGGTTCCCGGCCCAGGTGTCCATATCTTTCCTCATGGGGAAGCGTCCTGTCCCAGGGACCTCAGGCAGGGCCAGTCAGGCTTGTGTGTAGCCCTCTGTCCTTTCATAAGTTTGCTCTTTTATGAAGATTGAAAGGCCGTCCTGCTCCACCAGCCCTCACCCTGGGGTCTGTTTTGCACACACTGCTTAAAGCTGATGGCTGAGGGCCACACTGAGGTGGAGAGCTCACAGCCTGACAGGGTGTTAGACCTTCACTGGGACAGCTGTAGTGTAGCAATGCCCAGTGGGCTGAGAGGGCACTGAAGAGGAAGGTCTTGGTCTGGGGACATCAGAGAAGCTTTCCTATTCAGAAGTGGAATTGAGTTGAATGCTAAAGGACTCAGAGGAGATGGGGAGAGGCATCCCAATTAGAGGATCATCCCAGAGGCAAGAAAATGCACGCCCTGTCTAGAACCTGGAGCGAGGTGGCTGCCTCTGGGTCCTTGAATGCCAGGCCAAACATCTTAGATTTCATCCCAGAGACTATAGCTGGTTGATTATAGCACAGACTGGAGCCTGATCACATCCCAGCAGACCCTTGTGGAAGCTACCTAACCCCCCTGTGCCTCGGTTTCCTCATATGCAAAGTGGAGATAACAGTAGTACCTGTGTTGTAGGGTTGTTACCCTTGTGTATGCACAGGCACAGTACTTGGAGTAGTGCTGTGTCCCGAGGGGATGTTCCTTAACGAAAAGGACAAATGCAAGCTGTGTAGGGATGAGGAGGATGTACCATGAGGAAGGACCAGGCATTCTGGTGCTTCAGATCATGTAGGCCCCAATTGTCGGAGCTAGAACCAGCCTTGTGACAATGAGACCAGTTTAGGTTCCAAGGTCATGGGCCCGGGGCCATGGGCCATGGGAGCAGGATTTGCAGACCTCTGGTGAGGCTTTGGTGACCCAGTCTTTTAGAACTCAGAATCTGAAGCTAATGGTAGAATCTTTAGCAGCAGCAGGGGCAAGTGGAGGGAGGTTGGGGGCAGCCAGCCCTCCTACCCAGGCACAACCCATGCACAACCCCTGGCCAACAGGCTACGTGGATGTGGGGCTGATCCCGGCCGGTGCTCGTGAGATCCTCATCGAGGAGGTGGCCGAGGCTGCCAACTTCCTGGCCCTGCGGAGCGAGGACCCGGATAAGTACTTCCTCAACGGTGGCTGGACCATCCAGTGGAATGGGGACTACGAGGTGGCAGGCACCACCTTCACATATGCTCGCATGGGCAACCGGGAGAACCTCACATCCCCAGGTCCCACCAGTGAGCCTATCTGGATCCAGGTGCCTGCCTCCCAAGACCCAGGCAGGGGGAGCCAAAGTGGGGGTCCCCAGGGCTCGGCCTCCCATGGCAGGGTGTTGTCCTGGAGGAGTAAGCCCTGTGACAGCCCTGGCTTACTCCTCCAGGACAACACCCTGKCTGTCACAGAGGCCCAACTGCTAGAGCCTCTACCGCAGTTTCACCATCTCTAAAATGGTCCCCTGGTGTAACCCCAGTTCACAGAGGTAGCTGGGATGAGCTCCCATAGGACACTTATTCTGGTGGCAGGTCCTGATGCTCACAGGGCCCCCATCTGCCTGCTCTAGCTACTGTTCCAGGAAAGCAACCCCGGGGTGCGCTATGAGTACACCATCCACAGGGAGGCCTATGACCAGAGTGAGGTGCTGCCGCCTGAGTTCTCCTGGCACTATGGGCCCTGGAGCAAGTGCACAGTCACCTGTGGCTCAGGTGAGAACAGAGGCAGACATAGCCGTGGCCCAGAGGCTAGCCCTCACTGCAGTCTTAGGATGTGCCAGGCACAGGCTGTCTGCACACATGTGGCCACATATGATCCTCACCCCAGGACTTGAAGGCAATCACAGACGAGAGCACTGAGGATCAGAGAGGCTGCTTGAGCTGCCCCAGGCCTCTGGTCTAGGAAGCAGTGGGGCTGGGCACCCAGCCCACTAAACTTCACATTCTGCTGCCTCCCCAGGGGCGTCTTCTGGGCGGATTTCAGGGGAGGGGGTGAGGTTGAAGTCCGGGAGGACAGTGAGAAGGAGGTGACAGAGTCCTGCTTTCCTCCTGACATGGGCAGTGAGCCCTTGTTCTGGGAGGTTTGTGGCCTAGAGGGTGTGACTTGTCTTTGGGAGCAGGGCAGCTTGGGCTGGGGGCATGCTGAGTGCCAGGCACAGGCTGAACCCCTGTGGCTCCCAGGTGTGCAGAGGCAGAGTGTGTACTGCATGGAGCGTCAAGCAGGACTTGTGGATGAGGGACACTGTGACCCCCTGAGTCGGCCTGATGACCGCCAAAGGAAGTGTAAYGAGGAACTCTGCCCTGCCAGGTAAGCCTAGTGCCCCCTCCCCAGATGTTCTGGTCCTGCTACAGACTCCTATATCAGGGAGCYCTGAAACCCTAGGGAAGAGGACGGGGGTGGGCCATGGCTTATTTCCAAGGCTGAAGCCTGATCCCAGCTTGGACCTGGGGTGCCCCTGGGCAGCTAGCACCAGCCTAGACATCCCTGCCCATTCCTCAAGCCCCTGGCCTTGCTCAGGTCCTGTGGAGGAGGGTGGCAGGAGTGAAGAGGGCTGGGCACCCACCTGGGCTTGGGAGTTCCAGGAACTCTTCCTCTGAACTCAGACCTGATCCTGGCTGGACCCTAAGGGCTTAGAAGCCTAGCTGGGGCCTCCCTGCTCACAAGCCTGATACCATCTCTTTGATCCACACTGATACAACTGTGTACCCCTCAACAGGTGGTGGGTAGGGGAGTGGCAACTCTGCTCCCACTCCTGTGGGCCTCAAGGCCTCTCCCGCAGGGCTGTGCTCTGCCTTCGCAGCGTGGGGCTGGATGAACAGAGGGCTCTGGAACCTTCTGCCTGTGAACATCTTCCCCAGCCCCCTGCAGTAACCTCATGCAACCACCACGTGCCCTGTCCTGCCACCTGGGCTGTAGGGCACTGGTCTCAGGTGAGCAGGGGGATGGGAGGGGGCCCACTGTAGATCCTCCATTGGCCTTTGGCTACAGATGGCCTGCCTGGGGTCACTTATTGTCTGGTAACTTGGGTGGGAGGGAGCCTGGGCATTATAGGGTACAGCCTGTACCCCCAAAACCTGGGGGATCAGGGTGCCTCTGACAAACCATGGCCACAAACCATTGTCTTGAGCTGGGTAGGGCCAGAGAGGGCTGGCTGAGATCTCTGCCACTCTTACATTGGGCAGTGGGCAGGTCACCCTGCCATGCCCCTCTCCTAGCCTGAGTTCCTCACTTTGGCTTCCCTTACAGTGTTCAGTGACATGTGGAGTTGGCACTCAGCACCGAAGTATCCTCTGCACTAATGACACTGGTGTCCCCTGTGATGAGGCCCAGCGACCAGCAGGTGAAGCCACCTGCTCTCTACCACCCTGCCCGCAGTCTCTGAAGGCACTGGGCCCTGAAGGCTCTGGCAGTGGTTCCTCCAGCCCTGAGCTCTTCAGTGAGGTTAACTTCATCCCACATCACCCAGCCCCACGCTCTTTGCCCACCTCCTCACCCAAGCCAGCAGGCATGGGCAATGCCATCCAAGAGGAAGACCTGAAGCTGGACTTGCCGGGACCTGTGTTTGTGGATGACTTCTACTATGACTACAATTTCATTAATTTCCACGAGGACCTGTCTTATGGGCCCTTTGAGAAGTCCAACCCAGACCTGGGGGGCACAGGGGATTGGATGCCCCCACCCCAGAGCTCTCSTGCTGAGCCTCCTACCAATTCTCCYTTGCCCATCACAGAGCCTCCTGGATCCAAGGAAGAGGAGTTTCAGGAAGCTTGGTCCCCTGGCTCTTGGCCCAGCCAGGCTGGCCACTCCCCAACCCCACCCTTGGAGCAGAACCCTGGGAATCCCTTGGTCAATTTCTTGTCTCAGGAAGATGCTCCTGGCAGGGCTCCTGACCTTGGGATCCCCATCTTGACCAGATCCCCTGCTTTAGTCAAAGATACGAAGACGCCTACTGCCCCTGGGAGCCCAAATGAGTTCCTAGTTGGGGAGGACAGCCAGAACCAGCCACCCCCTCCATGGTGGGACGGGACCAATGAGATTTCCAAGGACAAGGAGGAAACTACAGGCCACAGAGCACCTCACCTGCCCCAAAGCCCCAGCTCCATGCAACCCCCATTGCCCTCCATTGACACTACCCATGCCTCTCCTAGCACTGACATGGTGGAGCTGTGGACAGGAGGAACTGTGGCCTGGGGCCCTGCTCTGGAGGGTGACTTAGGACCTGTGCACAGACAGCCATGGCCCACTGTGGGGGTGGATCCTCCCCTTCCTCCTCCCATGGCCACCATGCCAGGGATCTGGAGCAGGGACACCCCCCTGGAGCTGGGAACTCCTACGTTTTCAACCCCAGGATCAGGCTCAAGGGACCTGCAGACTCTGGCAGTGCCAGGGACCTTCCTTCCAGTAGTGCCTACTGACCTAGGGCACAAGCCTTGGGTGCCTGTCCTGAACCCAGGACCCTCAGACCAACCTGAGATCTCTAGCCCTGAGGTGCCCCTGAACCCTGCACTGCTGCCCATACCAACTCAGGACAGTCCTGTGGACAGCAGCAGAGCCCCCGAGGCCCAGCCTCTGGAGCCTACCGTGGCCGAGGAGGGGTCCCCCGCAGGCCTGATGCCCACCAGGAATGCCAGCTGGCAAGTGGGAAACTGGAGCCAGGCAAGTGGTGCAGGGTCAGGGGGCTGGGAGTTTGAGAAGGACCTCAGGGACTCAGTTTCCTTGTCTGGAAATGAGCAGAGCAGGGCATAAGCCCTGTTTATCCTGCCTGCCGGAGGCCAGGGATTCCTGGGATTAGGAAACTGACAGTGTAGTGGGTAGAGTCTCATGAGTGGGGGAGCCTTGCCCCAGCTCTGTCATGCAGAGCTCCATGGGGCCCTCCATGTGGCCTGTGGCCAGTCTGCCCCATAAGGCCTGTTTCCCATCTGAGCAGTGGGGATGGAGTAAGGAGGCCCATCTGCTTGTGCCTTGAGTCCCCAGAGGGCCTACTTCTGAGCAGCACAGAGGGAGAGCAGTGGTAGGCACAGAAGCAGCTCCACCTGGGGGAGATCCTGGCACTGGCTTGCATGCCTCTGGGGACAGGGAGCTCAGCTCACATAGCTGTGTTAGGAGGAAATTTCCTCTCATGACTCCCAGGCCCAGCCCTGTATGGAAAGGAGTTGGCCTGTACCCTCTCCCTAGGTCCCAAGATTGTCACTGTAGGAGAAGCAAACTCCTGTTCAGATCCCTAATTAGGGGATGGAAGGGGCTGGCTTTGTCAGGGTTTGCCTACCAATTTGGCTGCTGGGACCKGAACCCAGACTTCCTTTGCTGGTGATTCTGGGAAGTAACAAGCCTTGCCAGGATAGCTGATGTGGGGTGCCTGCAGGTCCCAGTTGGCTGCTGGTGGGATTTGATTTTACACAGTCACCTGAGAAGGGAGGGTGGAGGAGTCCATTTTGCAGAAGGAAACCAGGAGAGGGTGTCCCAGGTTGRCCGAGATCCTACTCACGAAGGCCAGCAACCCCCTTGCTCTGGGTGTCTGGCAGGGCGGGATTGCCTGGYGCTCACTGGCCTCTGCCCCATAGTGCTCCACCACCTGCGGCCTGGGTGCCGTCTGGAGGCTGGTGCACTGCAGCTCTGGCCGGGACGAGGACTGCGCCCCTGCTGGTCGGCCCCAGCCTGCACGCCGCTGCCACCTGCGGCCCTGTGCTGCCTGGCACACGGGCAACTGGAGCAAGGTTCGTGAGGGGAAGACCAAGCCAGGGCAGCAGCCCCAGGGTGTGGGGTGGAGCCCTGGGCTCTGAGTCTCTGCTCCCAGACGAGGGCAGGGGAGGCTCCACCCTGTCTGTGCGCTTGATGGTCTTCGTTTCAAATGTCTTTTCAGTCTCTTCATTTGGCTCAATCTGTCCCAGCCTTTGCTCCTGTTGGCTGGCTCCCTTTCTCTGTACTTACCCCCTCCCTCTGGACTTCCCTTTCACCCACTCTTCCTTGTCCCTTTCTCTATCTGTCCCATCCCTGCCTTGCTGCCCAGGGCTGGCCACCCTTGGTGCCTCCTTGGGGCGAGTGATCTGCTTCCTGCTCTGCCACACTCCTTGCTGGGTCTTGTGTTTGGGGGTGGGGTGCGCACACCGGTACCTTGGTCCCCAGTGCTCCCGAAGCTGTGGTGGAGGTTCCTCAGTGCGGGACGTGCAGTGTGTGGATACACGGGACCTCCGGCCGCTACGGCCCTTCCACTGCCAGCCTGGGCCTGCCAAGCCACCCACCCGCCAGCCCTGTGGGGCCCAGCCCTGCCTCAGCTGGTACACCTCTTCCTGGAGGGAGGTGAGGCCTGGGAGTCTGGGGTGGGACCCAGGGACACCCTCAGATCCTGACCGTGCCTGACACCTCCCCTGTCTTCCTAGTGCTCTGAGGCCTGTGGTGGTGGAGAACAGCAGCGTCTGGTGACTTGCCCAGAGCCAGGCCTCTGTGAGGAAGCKCTGAGACCCAACTCCACAAGGCCGTGTAACACCCACCCCTGCACACAGTGGGTGGTGGGGCCCTGGGGCCAGGTGAGCAGGGGCCGAGCAGTGCTCAGCAGGCTCTGCTGGGTTCTTAGTCTGTGAGCTGTTGGGTGTGTGCCAGGTACTGGGCTCTTTGCAGCCACTGCAGAGACAGAGGTGACCAGACAGAGTCCTTGCACCTTGCCAGGGAGAAATAGATGAAGAGAAAAATGGATGTGTCCTGTCATGTCAGGCCACAGGGACTTTGTGTGGAGACAAGGATTCATCAATGCCAAGGAGAAGGATAAAGAAAGCTCCATGTTCTTCAAAGTCCTGAGGCGGGAACAAGGACCTTAGGGTATTCAGGGAACAGCACAGGCCAGTGTGTCAGAAGGGGATAGAAAAGGAGCCCCTGTTTGGGGCTGAGAAGTTCAGGGATTTGGGCCCTGAGCCAAGCMCTGAAGTCAGCGGACCTGAGTTTAGATCCTTGTCCCACTGGCTGCTAAGTAACTCTGGGCAGATTGTTTTGGCCTTGCTCGGCCAGTGTTTTCCCATTTGTCAAATGGGCACAGCTGTGGAAGGATTAGGTGAAGTAATAACAATGAAAACACAGATCCTGGTGCAATGTTGGCACAGRTTAAGCCTATTTTTTAGCGCTTTTTAAATGGCCAGACCCCTAGCTGCTAACAGCCTGAATCAGCGTGGTGGCCCTGGTTGATAAAGGTCTACCTTTCTGCTGCCCATGGGCTGTGGTGGGTCCTCCCCCTGTTCCTTGGTTACTGTGCTGTATTGTCCAAGTCTCTGCCCACTCTGCTCAGGCCACTTGGGCAAGTCTCCTGTGAGGGGCTTGCCCTGAAAGACTTGGGGATGCTCCCTGCTGCTCTTAGACCCCCTCACCCCCTGCAGAAGCAGATCCTGCAAGTGGGAGTAGGTCCAAGTGCCACTGTAGGCCCTGGGAATGGGACTAGGCCCACTGCTGATCTGGCACCAGGTGAAGGACTGGCTTCCTAGAGGCACTGCCCAGGGATGCCTGTGAAGGTTGGGCCCAGGGACACTCAACTCCTTTCTAATGCAGTGCTCGGCCCCCTGTGGCGGTGGTGTCCAGCGGCGCCTAGTCAAGTGTGTCAATACCCAGACGGGACTGCCTGAAGAAGACAGTGACAAGTGTGGCCATGAAGCCTGGCCTGAGAGCTCCCGGCCCTGTGGCACCGAGGATTGTGAGCTGGTCGAGCCTCCACGTGAGTGACCCCACTGCCTGTACTCTGCTGCGGGCCGGGCCGCGTGAGGAGGACAGTGGGGAAATGGAGTCATCAGACAGTCACCCCCCCGAGCTCCGCTGAGCCTGAAGCTGCAGTCTGGGCTCAAGAGCTGTGTGTGGCCTCAGGATGCCACACTGAAGCTGGGGCTGTGCTGGGACTCTGCCAAGGGGAATCCCAGCCACACAGGGCATCCTGCAGATAGCTTCTCTAGCCTCAGCGGGGTGGAGGGGGTGGCCTTGGCTCCTAAGTTGTTGTGTGACCTTAGGCAGATCTTTTTCGCTCTGGGTCTTATTCCCCATTGAGGCCAGGATATCCTGTGGCTGTGTGGAAGCTGGGCCTGGGGGAGCCTCACGCCCAGCTCTGGACTGTCCATTCCCGGCCAGGTGAGGGCTGCCTGGGGTGAGTAATATAAGCACGGGAAGGACCTCCCTCCAGGGTCCTGCTAACTTCCAGCATTGTTGCCTTCCTGGCCAGCTGGGTCCTCTTGGTAAAGAACCTGGGCCAGAGGTGGCTCTGGACACCCCCCTCCCCCCGCCTCAACCACCACCACTTCCTTCCTGCCCCCAGCAGTCCGGAACACAGAACATATGGCCCTGGACCCAGCACCTGGGCTCCCTTCACCAGCTGTTTGGCCTTGGACTCCATTCTTCCCCTGGGCCTTCCTTTCCTCATGTGTAAAGGGGCTGGCAACCGTCATGTAGGAGCCTGGGGTGAAAGGCCCACACTGCAAAGGCACTTAGAGGGTGTTTGGGAAAAATGACTTCCTCCCTCTGGCAGCCTCGGTCATCCTCCGTTGCAGTGTCAGGGAGAATCCCAGGGCTGCCTCTGGCAACCGGGGGAATCCAGAGGCTTGGCACGGTGTATACTAAGAACAGTGCCCCAAGCCTATTGGCTTCAGCCCCCTGTCCCTAGGATGGAGTCTGTGGCTATTGGACCTGCCATCAGGGTTAGGGTCAGGGCCTCTGGGTATCTACCTACTCTCCCTTGCTCAACACAGCCTTCTCTACCAGTAGCTGGCTCCTAGGTAGCCCTTACTTAGGGCCAGAGCAGCCACTGCCATGCTTTCTGACCCCAGAAAGCAGGATGGCCCTCCTGCTTCAAGACCCAGTAGAAATGCCAGTCCCCTGCATCCACCTGCCCTGCTCTCACCCACCCTCAGCATTCATCCACAAGCATCCCAGACACCTCTTGGACATAGCTCAAGCTGGGTGCAGGCGTCACAGCACTTGGCTTCAGGGCTAAAGGGCCATGGCTCCTCTTCATCCCTGACACTGGGCTCAGAACCAGCCAGGAGTTGGGTATTTATGATCCCATGTGGTGAGGATCAGATGGGAGATAGAGCAGGAACTGAGGCTCCACAGGACCTAAAACCAAGGAAAGGCCTGGCTCAGAAGGCTCTGGACTTGCAAGGTCTCCCAGGGGTTGGGGTGGGCTACAAAGAGGGGATTGTGTGAGGAGGTCATGCATGGCAAATGAAGAGTTTTCTTCTGCAACCAGTGAAGGGTACTACCCTGGGAGGTATCTTGGACCCCAAGTCCCTAGAATTCCCAGGATGTTTTGATGGTTTGTGGGGTGGTATGGCAGGACATTTGGAAATCCTGGAAACTCCAGGGTGTGTGGTCACTGTGGCAAGATAAGTGACCCAGCATGGCCACATCCGCCTGCCTGTGGAGGTGGAGGTTATTGATAGGAGGGAATCACAGCCTCAGAAGTTAGGAGCCTGTTTCAGGGTCTTAGGTCACCACAAGCGACTAGATGCAGGTGGTGCAGATGTGTGGTTTGGAGTTACTACCCAAAGCCAGGGTGGAGGACCCTGCCTGCTGCCTTGTGCCCTCTGCCAAGCCCAAGGATGTCCCAGGGTGGCTGTTGCCCTCCTGCTCTTCCTCCCCTGGGAGTCTGCTGGAGTGAGCAAGGCCCTGGCAGCAGCTGGGGGCTGTCAGCAGCAGACCAGCCACGGCATTGGGAGCAAGGCCAGGAGGCTGGAGTTAAGCCACTTCCCAAAATAGCTCTGATAGCCACTGGGTAGGGACCCAGCCAAGCCTCATCCCCACTGACAGACACAGCTGCTGTATCCTCCCTCCCCAGGAGGCCTGCTCTCAATTCCTGGTGGCCACTGATGGCCCGTCTGGCCCTGACCAAGGCCTCCTCTCGGGGCTTCATTGCACAGCTGAGAAGTGTGGGACTGGCCCAAGATGAGACTGTTCTGGCCTTTGACCTAGAATCTCAGCCTGAACGTGGCTCACGTCAGGGAAGGTAGTCACAGAGATCTGGCAGGTCAGGTGTACTCGGGCTGAGAGGGGGTGACAGAATCGTGGGGCAGAGAACATTGCAAGCTGGCATAAGTATCTGAGACTCAGTTGTGTGCTAGTATCTGTCAGGTACCAAGGGTGAGCAAGGATGCAGATTGGAGGCCCCCAGTCCTGAGCAGGCTCTTTGGCTATTCATGGACACCTGAGTGGGTCAGGGATGGGATCTCAGGACCTTTCCTCCAGAAACCTGAACTCAACAGTGTCAGTTCTCCAGAGTTCTGGGGATAGGCCAAGTGAAAGGACAACAGTTGGTGGCTTTCTACTGGGGATCCAAGGGAGGACGTCCAGAACCTGGGAACCCAGTTCCCTGAGGTTGGYTGCTGAAGTCTCTTTAAGGCAGATGGGTGGAAGTGGTGGCAGGTGAGACAGCACAGGTTAAAATCTCAGGGACACTCCTCACCCCAGCACAAGGGTGGTGGAGCCTGGTTCTGGGGTGCCTCGCCCCTTGGCCTTGACTGGCTGGTCTCACCCCATCCCCAGGCTGCGAGCGGGATCGCTTGTCCTTTGGTTTCTGTGAGACCCTGCGCCTGCTGGGCCGCTGCCAGCTGCCCACCATCCGTGCCCAATGCTGCCGTTCCTGTCCTCCACTTGGCCCCTCCCGAGGTCATCAGCGGGTGGCATGATGCTGACCTGAGCCTCGACCCGCACCGCGCACCAGGATGCACAGACAGACCACGCACAGACCTCAGCGCCCCGTGTCGGGCTGTGTCAAGAGCCCCGTCCCTCGCGCCCTAATGGTGCTATTCCTGACCCCTAGTCCTCAGCAGCACGCTGGGGACTCCCCTTCCCTTGAAAAAAGGTATTTTTTTATTCTATTTGTGCAACATTTATAATTATGGTTTTATATAAATGAGTATCTACTGTTCCAAAGCTCAGCTTGGCTTTGTTTGGATTTGGGAAATCTCAAGTAGAAACCATTCCTCACCCTCGATCCTCTAGGATACTCTGTTCCCACCTTCAACAGATAGATTTTCATCTGCTTTGAGGGTGGGTGAGGGCAGATCGGCAGCCAAGGAATCCACGCAGAGAATGGCGCCTACTGTAGGCATGGGAGGCCTGGTGTCAGAGTGGAGGGTGGCTTCTTACAGGGGGCATATCTGCAGAAGCTTGGGTAATAGGAGTAGGAAGGTCTTCTGGGCAAGGGACACAGTCCTGAGAGTCCCTGTTCACACCTCTTACTTCTGCCTCCTGCTAGCAGCATCCCCCCCYCACACACACCCCAGCCCTTTCTCCAGGGACCCCCACTTTAAGTTCCTCAAAGTCATGTGTTTCACAGGGATGAGCCCCAAGCATTGTCAAACAAAAAAAAGGCTACCTTGTCAACCACAGGACTACCCCACCATAATGGTGACGGGGTCTGGGGTTCCTGTGGGCACTTCCCTGACCCTCTAATTCCTCTGCACAAACCTGTGGAGAGGGGAAGAGCAGACTGGCCAGTCTCATCCTTCTTAGTCCCCACTTGTCCCTTTCCTTTATCTCCATGCTCAGAGATGGGACTGGGCTACTCAGGGCTGACTCAGGGTGCTCCTTCCCTACCTATAAAACCTGGTCCCCTGGGGCTGGGGTTGTGGTTCAGCTGGTAGAGCGCTCACCTTGCGCGTGTGAGACCCTGGGTTCGACCCTCAGCAACACATAAAAATAAACAAAATAATGTGTCCATGTATAACTAAAAAAATATTAAAACAACAACAACAAAACATTAGTCCCATGGAGCAAGACTCTGGTACAAACAGCAAGGAGCAGCTGGGCATGAAGTTGCTTTGAAGAGGGTTCTGGGCCCAAGCCAGGGGTAGGGAGGTGATGAACAAATGCCTTTTTCCAGCCCATATCTTCCCCTTCCCCTAGCTTTGGGTTTGGTCCTCCTCCCGAAAAACGTTCTGCCTCCTTCYCCAAGTTTGGGGCACTGAAGTTCTGAGAGGGGACACTTCTTACATTCTATTCTCCAGCATACAGTATTCCCAGCCTCTAAGGTGAGTGGGCCCTGAAGCCATGCAAGTGGCATTATGAAGGCACTGGACGTGGGCCATATGGCTACTCAGGACTGAGGGAACACATTGGCAATCACTCTTTGGGGATTGAGACATCAAACAATATCAGAGGGCTGAAATAGTCAGTGCTAAGTGTCACAGGACTGAAGGGGTTTAGAAGTGTGTGGGAGCAGAGGCAGCTGCCCTAGAGGTCAGGAGGGTGTGTGCTTAGCTGCTTTCAGTTCCACATGCTCACACCTCCTGGTCCTGAACATGCCCCATTTTCAGGTGAGAAGCCCATGGCTCTGAGGGAAGTGATTGGCTCAAGGCCACATACCTTGGTGACAGAGGACTGATGGAGGCCTCTGGTCCCCATCTCCCTTTCTGAGCTCTGGACTTCCCTTAGCAGTTGATTCCTCTGACCAGGCAGGCGGAGGGCCCCCTGCAGACTCCCAGGGCAGTCTGTCAGAGGTCATTCAGGAAAGCCAGTCACCGGGAGCAAGCACCACAGAGGGTGGAAGAGTGTCAGGCTCACTTCCTGTCTGTGTTTACAAGCAGCCCTACTGGCCCAAGGAGGCCCACGCTCTGAGTAATGGCTTCCCAGGGCTCAATCAAGACTGCTCTCAGTGGCAGCCTCTTATAAGGATTAGGGAGTAGGGGCTGGCACAGTGGCAGAGCCCTGGGGTCCCAGCTCTGCCATTACTATTGTGACCTCAGGAATCTCTAGACTTGCTGAATCTCCGTGTTCCCAGAGGAGAAGCGGCATCCCGGTCCTGGCCTGATCTATGTGGGAATCTTGCTGGATTCCCCGCTTTATGGAAAGACATTTGGTCTTAATCATTTTTGTGTTTTTCCAGTGATGGCTAGAGGTGTCCCCAGTGGCAGCAGGGCCTGAGCTGTCAGCCCAGACAGGAGGCAAACAAGCCATGACTCAGGCAGGGCAYGGTACAGCTGGCGGGAAGAGGGCGCCTGCTCTCTGGCAGGGGCTTCATTAGGCGCAGCAACAGCGTTCCGCTTTGGCTCCCAGGCTCTGCCCTCAGCTTCAACCTCTCAGGGTCTCCCAGAGTGACCACTGCTGACAAACGTGTCCTGTTCCACCCCACTGGAACCATGGGCAGGGACACCCAGAATCACCAGGCTGGCAGGTTGGAGAGGTCCCCACCCTGGCCCCTGTCCTGCTCTCCAAGCCCTTGGGGCAGACCCTGTCACAAGGAAATATAATGCCTTTCAAGGCATAATGTTATACAGATTACTTTATTTTTTCCTTTATAATTCCAAAATTTAACTTGAAGACAGCATAGAAGCTGCTGTGATATAAATGGACAGTCACCTGGCAGCGTCCCTCTTCCTCCAGCTGCCCAGCAGGGGTGGAATGATCAGTGGCACACATGGGGCTTCGCAGCCAGTTTCTCCCCTGCGGGGACTTTCCCAGCAGGCCCAGCCACCCAGCCGCCCAGCTGCTGGGTCCAGCTGCCGGTCATAGGGGGGAAGATAATACTGCAAAGCAGCGGGTGGGGGATGTGCAGTACACATTTAGTTAAAAAAAAAAAAAAAAGACTGGGTACTTGGCTAGAGTACTTCCTATATCAATATAATATTCTGGTGCAGTTGACACCAGAATCGTTCCCAGCAATCTGTAGTCTGCTATCAGCGTGACTACAGGTAGCGACTGAGGCTACCTGGGGTGAGGAAAGGGCTGAGCAAAAGTGAGAGTCAAGGCTGGAGGCAAAAGGAGCACAGGAGGGAGCAACCAGGAGGCTCAGGTTTACATAAATACATACAAGGGAGTTGTGCACACAAAATAGAACTTGTTATATAAAATAGATGTACAGACTCTAGAAAAACCTTGATAAAATATCCTATAAAAATATAAACTGTAGTGAAAATATACAAAAGTATTAACAGGTTCAACCCATTTAAAAAAAAAAAAAAAAGAACCATCGATTTCAGAGTTGGGAATTCCCACTAGGTGTGAGGTGCTCCCCTTACCTTGGCACCCACATTTAGGCAAGCCGGCTGGAGGCCACCCTTTCAGCTTGCAAGGGCCACCACACAGGGGCCCTGGGCTGGCTATAGAACAAAGGTTCAGATGAACAGCAGCGTGCAGAAGGGGCACTTGCCAGGCGGCCAGGGGAGGTAGAGGGACCTGGGACCCTGGAAGATAGGAGGAGGTCTCTCCTCAGTGGAGGGAGGGAAGGGGAAGTGTTGGCTATGGAAGGAGGGCACTCCTCCTGACCCAAATTGGAACCAGGTCAACGATTCCTTCTCAGCCCCCTGGACATTAAGCACTTTATTCTAGGAAGAAACCCCAGGAAAGGGTCCCCAGTCCATCTCCTCTGGGAATCGCTCTCACTGCCTCATGCTTGGTAGGCAAGTGCTCCACCAGGTGCTTTCTAAGAAACATTTTTTTCAGGGTAAACTGGATAAAATAAGTCCATTCCTAAAGGGAGCATTTTAGCTCCTGTACATGGAAGTTTGGGGATGGCATCTTCCAGGGGGAACTGACTTGAGAACTAAAAGCTGAGGACAGCTGAAGCTGATCCATGGGGCCCTAGCCACAGTCCCAAGCACCTCCTCACAGCGGTCCCCTAAGCTGACAGCCACTATTTCACAAGGTGGCGGCAGGGTTCTCCAGCACTTGATCCCAGCAGTCCCCAGAACAGTAGTGAGACTGCAACGCCTGCCCTGCTCCCAGGCAGCTTCCTGAAGAAGCCGGGCTTCAAACAACTGTTCTACAGATGTGCACAATGATAAATACAGTCCCAGTATCTGAAAAAAGAGTTTTGACTAAACACAGGGACCAGTTCCCCCTACACCTTAAGAAAGTAGGCAATTTAAGCCCAGGAAGTTGAGCTTGCTCTTGTCAACAGGCCAAGTTGTAACTACCAACTCAGCCACAGAACTGCTAGGATGTTGACAGTAAAAGATGAACAGGAAAACCATGCGCTATGGAAAAAGCACTTCTTGAACATGCATCGCTTCCATTCTTAGTCTGAGTATGTCTGTATCAACTAAGGATTGTTTCTGATTTGTGTCCAGGTAGTGTAAAATATTCCACTTAAAATTGTTTCTCTTGTGTTCGAGTAATACTGTGCCAGAAAACATTCTCTCATGACATCCGCACATTAGGGATGGTCCACAGGACTTAAGCAAAAACAACTTTCCTTGCTCAAAGCCTCTCTCCTGGCTTCAAAAAGGCAGTGCTCCGAGTCCCTAGAAATTGCCTAGGCAGCCTAAAATCAAGAGGCTACAGTGACCCTACATCCTTACTTGAGGACAAAGGTGCTCTGGGTGGCGAGGGTGGCAGGAAGACTGTCACCCAAGCCTTAGCTCTAAGTAAAGGAGCCTGTCAGGGCTGGTATCCCGCTCACGCAGGAAGTCCTCTCGGATGGCCTCCAGCTCTGTCAGCTCCAGCCGGACCTTCTCCAAGTGGTAGGTGTGACGGTTCCGGATCTGGCGCAGGGGGAAGGGGTTCAGGTCCCCAAAGGAGACCTGCTAGCTAGGTGAGGGACATCAGGAGCACTGCCCCCCTCTGGGGAGGCCGAGGTTTCTGCCATGTAGTAGGGCTCACCCAGCAGCTGCACCAACACCCTGAAAAGCAATCCCCCAAAAGCTTCCTCTGTTCCCTCAATCAGGGGCATGCCAGGTGCAGTTTGTAGCTAACTTAGACTCCTATCTGAGTCACACTTGGAGAGTGGCTTCTACAAGGCCATTCCCAGATACAAAGCAAAGCATTCCATAGAAGCTCAGAGACAGTCAGGCACATGGCAGGCAGGGGAGAACAGCCAGTGATTTTCAATCACAAGCTGAGATGAGAAGTGCAAGGGGCTGGCTGAAGAGCCAGGCCCTCCCGGACGCAGGGTGGGAGCTACTGTTTTAAAATGCTGTGCAGGAGATGGCAAAAGCTAGTCCAGAAGTGGGGCATGGCTGGCAGCTGAAGCCAAGATTCTTGGGCTCTCTAAGGAGGCTGTTTCTGAACATGGAATGTGTCTACTTTTCTAAGGAAGTCCCTCATTTCACATTGACCTTATGCCACCTGAAGCAGCCAAACTCTCAAGCCCTGTGATGTACACAATTGCCTCCTATGTACAAAAGAACCTGGGAGAGGTCCAGCAAAGGATGGTTTTCACAGGGTCAAACACCAACACAGCTGACAGATGCTGTAAACAGGCTCTTAGAAACAGCCAACTGGTAACTGAGGGGCAATTCACCAATCAGGCAAAAAGCATGATCACAATGCCAAATGTTGTAGCATGAAGATGGCTGTAAACAGATGAGACCCTGCCCCMAAATGGTAACTAAGAAAGTGCAGTCTGGCTTTGGACATCTGCCCAGCAGATTCCCAGACACCACAGATGTTACATTCTGGCATTTAAACAAGCAGAWATGTCCCTGCAGTTCACACTTTTGACACACTTTGGTTGTGAAGGGAAGAAGAGCAGCATCCTGGGTGGACGTCCACTTAGGTGTCCTCCTCCTCATCGCTGACCAGCTCGCCTTTGTCAGGGCTGGTATCCCGCTCACGCAGGAAGTCCTCTCGGATGGCCTCCAGCTCTGTCAGCTCCAGCCGGACCTTCTCCAAGTGGTAGGTGCGACGGTTCCGGATCTGGCGCAGGGGGAAGGGGTTCAGGTCCCCAAAGGAGATGCTGATCAGTTTCCTGGCAGGACGAAGGGCAGAGACGAGCATCAGCAGTGCTCAGGCAAGTGCTCACAAAGCCCCCACCGCAGCAAAACCCAGAGGCTGGGGAGCAGGGAGGGTGTGTGCCACCCAGGGAGGCCAGGCCTACGTCCTGCAGACAGGCAAGGAGGCACAGTGGCTGAGCGAAAGGCCCTGCCTGCCTGTCAGACTCAGATCCCAGCTCTCCCCTGCAGATGTGACTAGGAGTTGCAGAGTTGAGCCACCAACCCCCTTTTGGCCTCTTTCCTTGTCCACACATGGGATAACAAGAATGTCATCTCCTAGGGTGTGGGTGTTACTTGGTTCTGAGAACAACATCTGACTCTTGCTTGGTGAGGGAAGGTGCAATGAGTGCCCCCATCAGGCCACACACAGGGCAGATAATCAGGAAGACTGTCCTGAGACTTAATTCCCCCAGAATGGATGAACAAGCAAACTTGGTGACAACGGTCAGACCCAGGCAGCAACATGACCAGCGTTGACCAGAAACATGAGGCAGCTGGAGCCTTTCACATTATCCCCAGATCGAGGCACTGACTTAAGATAAAAGTTTTTTTTTTTTCTTTTTATAGTAGATGAACTCTAGATAGGGCAGAGGGGTGGGAGGGCAAGGGAGGGGGCAGGGGGTTAGCAATGATGGTGGATGTGATAGACATGTGTGGTACATGTGTGGTAAGAGTTTTAAAGTTGTGATAACTTGTCTTTAACCACCAGTCAATAGTTTTTATAAAAACAGAGTTAAGACCAGTCCCAAGGTCTGGCTATGGCTCTCCAGGCTTCAAGGGCCAGCCATACTGTGTCAGGAGAGGAGCTGGAGGCTCTAGCACTGAGGGGCTGACCACCTCCCACACCCCATTCTTCTGCCAAGCCCAGCATCCTGGGCCCAGCTGTYATGGCAGAAGGACTGCCTCCTGTCTCTACCAGAAGCAAACCATTTGCTCCTGCTGCTGCTCAGCAGCTTGGGCCACATTTAACACAGATGTACAAATTAAGAATACACAAGCCCTAGGATTTCTGCCTCTTATATTTAAAACACCTACTCCTCTGATCTGCCTAACTCTAATACAGAGGATTATTATTGCAARGAGGTGGAAGGAGAGAAAAGGTTGGCTTTATTCAAATGCCAAGTTCCCCTGTACATTTCAGGACAGGTAAGCACCAGAGGTCAGGGTAAGCCTAAACACAGTGACTCCCCAAGTGAGTACCGGGACACATGCCACATACTCAGCCTGCTGATGGGGATACTGAAAACCCTGGGGAAAATGAAATGCTGGTGAGGGACCAGGTACCAGGAGCCCACGAGACCAGTCCCTTCTTTCCTGGAGCTTTGAGCCCACAGGTTCCACAAGCCCAAGACTAAGTCCCCCTTCTTGATTATATAAAGTGAACACCGAGAGTACTAAATTAACATTTTTCCCTTACTCCTCCAGTCAAATGGGAACTGACTGGACCCAGTGGCCTCTGCTGGGAACAAGGGGAAATCAAGTCACTACCCATAAAACTCAACTCCTCACAGACTCCCACAAGTCAATACCATTTAACTCAATGGCTCCTGAATGCAACTGGCTACAGAACTGCAGAATTTCGTTCCCTGACCCTCTGGCCATTTTTTTTTGGGGGGTGGGGTATAGGGAATTGAATCCAGGCCTTTGCACCTGTAGACAAGCATTCTACCACTAGGCTACATCTCCAAACCTTTATTAGATTTTATTTTGAGATTGGGTCTTGCTAAGTTGTTAAAGCTTGAACTTGTGAACTCCTCAGTCGTGGAATGACAGGTGTGCGCCGCTGCATTGCCTCCTCTCTCCTTTTCTGTATGACCGATGTACTGCAGAACTGGTGCTCACTGGAACYGCTTGTGTGGGGAACTTATAAAATATTGGGGTTCCAGCACAAAGGTGGGGCCAGGACATCTGTAGTCTTTCAACAACATCCCCAGTAATACTGCTGTCATTCATAATGCATTTGGTAATTCTTGGTCTGATGGCCTTGGCTTTCTAAAGCAAAGGGAAAACTGCACCAAGAGCTGCTCACCAGGTGGCGCTGCAGGACAATGCAAGATGGGTGGGAGCTGCCCAGCTTGGCCTGGTGGTGACAGGAAGGGGGACTGAGGATTCCAGCACAAGGCTATCCAGGTTTAGGCAAGATTCGTCTCTGGAACCAAAATGCTCTCAATAGAGTTCACTGCTGGCATGAGGAAGTTCACTCAGCCATTTTAAGTAATCCTGACCAATGTGAGATTAACAAGAATCCTCAAGGCTCAACTAGGATTTAGCATCAGTCTTTTCAAAGGCAAATATCATTCTCAGTTAGCCTTCCTATTTATCTATCTGTCTATCCATCCATCCATCCATCCATCCATCCAGCTATCTGTCTACTTATTTTGGTACTGGGGATTGAACCCAGGGGGACTTAACCACTGAGCTGCATCCCCAATTCTTTTTTTTTTTTTTTAATTTTATTTTTTAAATTTTGAGACAGAGTGTAGCTGACTTGCTCAGGGCCTCACTAAGTTTCTGAGGATGGCTTTGAACTTGTGAGCCTCCTGTCTCAGCCTCTAGGGTCATTGGGATTATAGGGGGGTGCCACTGTACCCAACTCAGATCTATCTTTTCTCATAAAATAAGGTCACTGTTGTTAGAGTTGGCAACAAGGCTGAAACTATTTTTAAAAGCCTAACAATGGTGATGGCCTCAAGAAGGCTTTGTAAGTCCTCAGCCACCATCTTCTGCTGCCAATTTGACTTCCAGGACCAGAGCAGCAACCAACTGTTGTCCAGGAGACATAGTGACAAGGGCAGCCCCCAACAGGAAATAACCATGTAGATGGGGAAGGCAGAAGCAAAATGATTCATGGTCATTCATAGACATCTGGCAGCCCAAGCCAGAAACCCAGGGTCTTCCAAGTTCAAATCCTCCTTCACTCTCTTCAATCTGTCCCCATCACTTTTCTCCATCTCTGGGGCCACCTCTCTCCAGGCCACCACCTTTCTTCCCTGGACCCCTCAAAGAGCCACTATTCCCTGGTCTGCCAGTGGCCAGTCCCATCCCAATTTGACATATCCTTCTGCCTAAGCTACAGTGACTTCCCAACACTTAGATTGAAGATCCAAGTCCTGAGCCCCATCTCCAGGAACCTGGACAGTCCAGCTCTGCTATGGCCCAGCTGCAAGCTCATGTACACCAGCAAGAACCTGGCTAAACTTCTCCACAGCTCTCAGAATACACTTGCTTCCCGACCTGTGTACGCCCAGAGGGCAGCTCTGACAGACTCGCCCCTCCGCTCCCCGCTGCCCCTTCCCAGCCTAGTTTCTTCCCAGGCCTGGGCTTCCTCATCACATTGCTCACCAACTGAGGCCTCAAGTTCAGGCGCTGTTGCTCATCTATCAACCCCAGTGCCTGGCACAGTCCTGCCACATAGTAGATACTCTGCAAATGCTTGTAGCCATGTGAGACTATGGCTTTGGATGGGATTTGTGTTTGTGAGAGTGAGGATGAGACCATCTTCATTTCAATTCCTTTCCAGTCTCTGGAAGGCCAGCCTCCTTCCCATTCCTGTTCACTGGAAGGAAATTCCCTCTCTCATGCAGAACCCCACAATGGCTGGAAGACAGCAAGGACAGGCGGTCTCAAGGAGACAGAGGACAGGTGGCCCTTTCCCCTGACATCTGGACAGTCTCCTGAGGACTCACCTCGCATCAAGGATAGTACGAGTGAAGTAACGGAGATACTTGAATATAGACATTGAGTCCTGCAATTTCAGGATCTCCTCTTCCTTGTATTTAAAAAGTGCCAGGGCAAAACGGAAAATCACCTGTGGAAAGGACAGGAAAATCTATAAATGGAGGCAGAGACACCCTGGCTCTAGGCACAAGTCTGGCACTGGGAGGGCACTCCCAGGGCTTTGGAGATGACCCGCCCTGGGGCAGACACTTATAGGGGTGACTTCCACTGGCTGGGCAAGGCCCTTTCTTATGGGAAAATAAACWCTCTGGTGGTTTTTAATAATTCAGCCCAAACCTCCCTTTGAAGCAACAAGACTTTTGTGGAATCCTTTTAGCGAACACTGGAACTAGAAATCAACTTTCTTTGGTACTAGAGACTGAACCCGGGGTGCTTAACCACTGAGCCACATCCCCAGCCTTTTAAAATTTTGAGATGGGATCTCACTAAGTTGCTTAGGACCTAGTTTAGTTGCTTAGGCTGGCCTCCTGCCTCAGCCTCTCAAATCACTGGATTACAGGTGTCTACCACCAAGCCCAGCCTAGAAATCAATTTAAAACAAAAATAAAACCAGGGGTTTTTGATTCTGAGTCTTGGAAATCTCCACCTTAGAGGCAGTTCCCATCTCAGCTAGTGAATGGGGACCTGAATTGCTGACTTTTAAATACAATGAAAGAGAAGCAATTTTTGTTATTGATTTGTTTGGGGGTACTGTTTTGAAGCTAGGGGGAATGGATTTCTGGGGTCTTGGAAGTTTGAGCAGCTTTGGAACAAATAGCTTTTTCCACATCTAAGGACCATGGATAATCTGCACCAACCTGCACTTTCTCATATTTAGAAAGCAGTATTTACAGGGTTCAAATAGGTCATCTTTCTCTTTACAACCTTACCTATGGCCCAAGAGGAACACTATTTATGCCCTGAGAAACCTTTTTAATAATGACAGACTTGATTATAAAACTGGTAGTGCACTATGTCAGGCATTAAGTTGAGGGTGGGTAATAACATACACTCAAACTTTGCCATAGGAGTATAAACTGGTGAGGCCACTCTGCAAAGGATCAGGCATCACCGCCATCACTACAGATGGACTACCATAGGCTGGCACTTCTACCTCTAGGGCTACACCTACACACGTACTGTAGAAAGACAAAGTGCCAAGAGAGTCCTGTAGCACAGTTTGAAGTGGCAAGAGACTGGAAACCACCTAAGTRGCCATTGTCAGGGGCTCTGATATAAATTTCCAGCTCATCTGTACAAGGAAATACTACAGAGTTATTAAAAAAATATATATGAGTCAGACCTGTATGCCCTGGTAGGTCACTATCTCTAAGATACAGTGACTTAGAAAATTTTTTAGAGATGCATAAAATACTCTGAGAAGGATATATAATACACTGAGAAGAGCAACTAGGAGACTGGGGAGCAGGGAGATCTTTCCTCTGCATACCCTTAGTTATATGACTTAAGTTTAATATGTAAATGTACTACTTAATTAAAAACTGATTTTAGAACACACAACAGACCAGGTGGGAGGCTTGTGGCCATGAAGTCTCTGAAGTTGGCTCCCCTGAGCTTGCCCCCTGATCTTCTGCTTATTAGATCTCTGGGCCTCTATCTCATCCATATAATGGAGATAACACCACCATTATCTGATGGATAGTGAGATTCAGATCATGAACCAYCAAAACTCCCAGGCCTAGCACAGTGATTAGAGCAGACTGTTTTTTTGTGAATGCGTGTGTTAAGTGCTGGGGGTTGAACCCAGGGCCTTGCACATGCTAGGCAAGTGCTCTACCACTGAGCCACACTCCAGACCCAGGCTGTTTTTGATAAAGAGCAAATAATTGCTGTTTCCCAAGCTCTCAGATGGTACACCACACTGAGCTCACTCTGGTGCCATGGTAATCTCATGAGTTCCAGGAGAACCAGCCACTCACCACCACTAACACAGACAACAGCATGTTTTTTGAGAACAGCTGAGCTGGGCAAACCCACCTTTGGTCCCTCATAAAGAAAAGAGTCCCATATTTTAAAAAGGATGTCACTAACAACACTGTCCACAAAAACCACCAGAAACCAGTTGAATGTGATAAGGGTGTAGTCGACTTTGTACTGTTCAAAGTGGGCATGCAATCGAGGCAGCTTCTCACTCATGAGGTCTCTGAACACCCGCTGGTCCACCTGGAAAGGAAACAAAGAAAAGTGTCTTGCGTCTGCCGCGCACTGGACAAGCAAGCAAGGGCAGACCTCTTGAGAATGGATGCACCGCAGGGCTCATCGAGAGCTGGACTACTCTCACTGGCAGCTGAACTCACATGCCTGAGGTGCACATAGGTGTCCACCGACTGACACCTTCCTTACAGCTCCTATATTCAAAGTGCCCTGGGAAAACAGGCTGTCCCAAAGAACCATACATTGAGTCCTAAGCAATGCACTAATATAAATCTTGAGAGGTAGGGATGGAGCTCAGAGGCAGAGCATTTATAGTGTGGGTGAGGTGCTGGGTTTGATCCCCAGCACCACACACACATGCACACATAGTCTAGAGCCAAAGAGGAAGCAGGACATTACCACATCCATGTAACAAATATTCAAAAGGCTTAATGGTGTGGGAGTAGCAAGACTCTAGAGCCAGAGAGACCCAAATGTGGGTGTCATGCAGCTTTACTACTCACTAGCCATGTGGCTTTTGGTACATGATGTTCTAAATAGTTCTGTGCCTCATGATCTCTCTCACCATTCTTTTGTGAGGATTAAATGACGTTTACATAAACTACTTATCGTATGACAGACAAACCATAAGTGGCTATTGCTGCTAGAGTCAGGTCAGGCCTGRGGCAGTTGAGCAGAGGGCTGAAGAAGGTTCAACCCTGACCTTGAGGACTTTAAAGACAAGTGGGGCAGCCAGACCTATGGAGTAGCACCATAACTGGTGAGAGACCTATAAAGATGTGTTAATGGAGCATTCTGGAGCTCATAGACTGGAGGAGAAAAGCACCCATGGCCMAGGTCAGGCTTTCAGCAGGAGGGTGGCAGGCAAGGCAGCACAGCTGCATAGAGTTTGTCTCGGGGCCACATATCACACAGAGGGGCCAGGGGATTTCCCTGTCTGTGACYCACATGGAAACATCTGGCTTAAACCACCACCCGTCCACACATATTTGTATGTGTGTATAAAACAGAAACTTAAGTCTCACAAAACAATACTTAAAACCTCCTATGTGGGATTCACTTGGATGCTTCCAATCCTAATCAATTTTATCTGACACACAACAAAGGTTATTATCCACCACTAAACCAATTTATACACAGTTTGAAAAACAAAAAACTGGGCATGGTGGTGAACGCCTGTAATCCTAGCAGCTYGGGAGGCTGAGGCAGGAGGAGACCCTATCTCTGAGTAAAATATAAAAAGGATGTGGCTCAGTGGTTAAGCACCCCTGGGTTCAAACTCTGGTACCAAAAAAAAAAAAAAAAAAGAAAAAGAAAAAGAAAAAGAAAAACACAATAGGCGTGGAGAAGCATCCGAGGCTTTAAACAGGATAACAATATGGATGTGTCTGCACTTTTAAGGTCCATGCCCTAAGCTGCAGCAGGGAGGCTGTACTGGAGGAAGCCAAGCTGGAGGCCTTGCCACAGATCATAGCCCAAGTGACGAAAATCCAAACCAGAGGAGGGCAGTGGAATAGAGAGAGATTCACAACTCTGTGGAGGTAAAATCGGTACAACTTAGAACACTTTTTGCTGAGAGAGGAAGGGAAAGGGGGTGCTCAGAATAACCTGGCTTCTGACCTAAGGCATGGAGAGGACAGAGGTGTGGTCCCCCAGGCCACAACACAGGAACAAGGGCCAAGCTGGGGAGACTGCACATGATGCCCCAGGACACCTGAGACCTCAGACTGAGGCTCCACAGGAAGCCTGGCCTTATTTTTAAGTTTTTTGTTTTTTTTTTTTTAGGTGGACACAATATCTTTATTTTACATTTACGTGGTGCTGAGGATTGAACCCAGTGCCTCGTGCATGCTAGGCGAGCACTCTATCACTGAGCCACAACTCCAGCCCCTGAGTAATTTCATCTCTTGATGTTCAAACAACTATAACACATTCATCCACACTTCAAGGCCCTGGCAATAGGGACCAGCTGTTGCTCTGAAGGAGCTGTAAAATGACAAGGAAGGTGGACAGATGACCATGAGACCAAGTGATGATACCAGGATTCACTGTGCCTGGCCGGGGCTGCTGAAGACATCAGAGAGGACATGTAGCTGGCCTCTGAGTGGGAGATCCTCATAAACTTCTCTTCTCCCAACTGGGTGACAGACTTGCCTCACTTATGGCTGGGTGGCTGGCAGAGGGCTGGGTGCAGAGCAGGCTGCCAGGAAACGCTTGCCCAGGCCTCTGCTTTAGCACCCTCCCCCACTGAGCACTGGAAGATGTGGAATGACTGTATCATTCATCTCTGTGTCTTCAGTGCCTAGCGAGGTCCTGGCACACAACATGTCCCTCAAGGATGGCAAAAGCATGGAAAGCTGGCAAGCAGCTGGCTGCAGCAGCAGTGGGCAGGGGGCTCGGCAATGCTTTCTGTCAGGGAGGCAGCTGGGCAGCAATTCCTAAAGCACAGCGTTGACGGCTGGCGGCACACACCAGCCTCTCCCCATTTTAAGAGAAGCCTTACACGAAGCCCACCCTTAGCCTAGGATGATTAAATACACGATACACATCTGCCTGGTGGACTATTATTGGCACCAACATTAAGACTAGAAAGTACACAGTGACGCAGGAAAATGCTCATGCCTTAATGTGAACTGGCCATGCCTTAATGTGAACTTGAATATTCAACTAAGGGAAGGAAAAAGAAATATATCACAAGGGTAACTGCGGTCCCTAGTTAGTGATAACAGGTGGTTTTAATTTTCTTCTTATTATCTTTCTGTATTACCTAACTTCTCTTTATAAGCATCTATTACTTGTATAGCCAGTGCAGAACTGGGGGAATTTATGAATATCTGATGCAAGTTTTATCTTAAATATCTACACACTTAAAGTAGGTCTTCCCCTTTTACCTACAATAACAGTATTAATAGCTTCTATTGAGTTTTTACAGTGTACTGAGTGTGACATTAAACTCCTTAAATGTATCATCTGAAGTCTACCTCAAACTMTCTATGAAAAGGTATTACCCTCCTCTCACAGAGGGAGAAACTGAAATACAGAGTTGTTAAGTGATGTGGCCAAGCTCCACAGCTCACAGGAGGGAGGCCTGGCTCTGACCGGTGACCCCCCCACACCCAGYGCACACTCCTAATTAATGTGCTTGACCACACCTTAGTGGAGTAGGAGAGATTAATAATGCTTCATTTCTCTTTTTTTCAAACACTGAGTAATATGTGATCTTAAATTTGAACCTTTAAAGCTATTAGCTCTCGGGCTGGGGATGTGGCTCAGTTGTAGAGCATTTGCCAGGCATGCATGAAACCCTGAGTTTGATCCCCAGCAACACACACACACACACACACACACACACACAAAAAAAAAAAAAACCCAAAACTATTAGTCTTCAGTTGCTGTGAATAAATAACACTTTCTTTACTGATCCCCTCATCCCACCTGACTGAGACTCCTACCTCTTCTCACTGCTCTTCATGTCCTTGTTTACAAACTCAAGCGATAGAAGCAGAGCTTTTGGTTAATTAGCAAGTGAAGTGATTACAGGGAGACCAGGTGAGTGTCTCCTGGAGTCCATCAATGACATCCATGAAGCTGGAACAGGGACCTGGAGGAGGCAGCTGTGGGAAAACTCATCCCCCAGGAATGCCAGAGCTCAGCAACTCTCGCCATTCTCCCAGGATGCTGTAGGAGGAAGTGGGCAGAGGCAGGTGAACTGAGGCCCAGAGCCTCAGGGGCTGAGTCCAAACCCAGTCCAAATGAGGCTTCCACCTGGTGAGGCTTGAAGTGTAGGTGTTTAGGGCTGGGGCTCATTAAATGCCACAAATTGTAGCTGGCCCAATGGTAGCTCCCGTAAAGTCCAGACATTTACTCTGTGGGGTGCTGGGCATGGTTAAATGACAGCCCATGGCTCTAAAGATGCCCTGAYGAGCTAGGAGACCATCAGGCCAGCAAGGACAATCCAGTTAGGTAACTGCTGTCACAGATGCCTGTGTCAGAGAAGTGGGAACCAAAGTGGGGCTCTGATGACAGCTTGGGAAGGCAGAACAGCACCAGAGAGGAGACAGTGTGTGTGCTGGGCTGAGCAGGAGCTTTCTAGGGAGTGAGCAGAGAGTGGTGTTCTAGGTAGAGCAATCATGTATAAGAAGCACAGAGGGCAGGGCCAGACCACAGAGCAAGTGTCCTGTCATTACAGGGAATGCTGCCTCCAGCAGTTCAGTGGGCAGGTAGAGGCTAGAGCATGGAAGGAGGGTCCAGGTGCTTGCAAAGGCATCTGCACTGGACCCTGAGAGGACGAGGGCCCCAAGGGGAAAGACACAACTCAATCTGTGGGAGAGAGGAGGCAATTGCAGAGATGTAGAAGACAGGATGCACCTGCCAGTGGAGAGGCGGGCAAAAAGGGAGAACACCTGTGAACTGCCATGCAGGAGGCAGCAACAGAAATGGTAACCACAGGGTTACAGGGAGCAGGATGGCTTGTTTCTGGCTTGGGAAACTAGAAGGATGGGTAGGTCAGGTGGTAACTAGAGGCAATAATGAGGCTCTTCCTCCAAAGGTAGAGACACAAATACAAAGCAAAACTCAATCAGGGTCCAACCAGAAAAACAAAAATCTAATTATTTGTTACAGGGAATTTTATTCCAGGAGCTGGTCACATCAGTCACAGAAAAGCTGAGGCCAAGTGGCCAACAGTGAGACAGTCCAGAGGTCAGCAAGAGGAGGAACATCCCTGGGCTAGAGCAATAGAGGGATCACTGCTCTGCATGGAGACCTAACAGATAGCTGGGGCCAGAGGAGAAAAAGCTACAGAGGCAGCACTCATGATGGGGGAGAAATCCCTTCCACAGTCCCCTGCCATCCTCTAGCTTCCTACCAGTGCCTCCCACCTGCCTGTAGGACCAGCCCTGCAACATCCTGGAGAAGGGTGAGGAGAGCCTCTGTGAGCAGGCAGGCCAGGCTTGGGCACACACTGAGAGGAACCATGCCACAAAGCAGGCATAGACATGGGTGCAGTTGTGACCAAGAGACAGGAGGGGCCAAAGGTGGGACATGAGTGAAGGGCTGCGGGAAGAGATGCCCTGAGCCACAAAGCAGGACATTACCCAGGCAGAGACAGGCCCATAATATCCTGGCCTGGCCCCTGGTGTTCGAATCCAGGTGTGGAGGGCCCGGTATGCGCTCCTCAGATCTGCTGTGGGAAGTGACTGCTGGTCCCTACTGCAGCGGTCACTGCACTCATTCCCAGAAGCCAGCCAGTGAGCATGGCAGGGCCACTAATGCAGCCCACTCCATACTGCCTCTAACAGCTGAGGTTGGCTTGAGCCACCCCACTGGCACAGGATCACAATGTCATCTGAGACTCTTCCTCCTGATCCTCCTTCTTTCCCCTGGGCTGGAGGTTCTCCCAGCTTTTCCCAGCATTGCTCCTCGTCCTTCACAGGTCTTGCCCCACAGAAATTTCTGGAATGTTTAATCCTTCCTCGGCATCTACATCYTGGAGGACATAAGTTACCACAGTGGGCTCCTCCAGCACCTGATCAGACTTGGCTTGCTGTGCCCAGGGGAGAGAGCACAGGACAGTGAACATAACATCAGGCCAGCAGGACAACTCTCTGTCAGCTTCCAGTGACCTGAAGGAGCCAGCCCAGCCCCACTCACAACCACTCAGTCCAGGCTCTGAGATATGACCTGCCTCCTTCAGGGATCAGTCTCTGAGGTCATGTATGCAAAGCTTCCCCCCATGGGGGTTTAAATGGGTATCAGTGATAATTGTATAAGTTGGTGACTRACTGAAGTACAGTATTTTAAAAAGTACCTGGGATCCTAAAAGAGTCTTTGTGTAATAGTCTCGAGGCATGAAAACTTCCACAATGGTAACCAGACACCAGAAAGCATCTTCTTGCTCCAGGTACAGGAGAGCCACTGCCACCAACCTACAACAAACAGGAGTGAGATTAGTGCCAGGTCCTTGCCACAGTCTTCACCGAGACGTCTGCTGAAGCATTTTCTCTCAAGGCTACTACCATTTTTAGTTCTCCAATAAAGAAAAATAATTAAGATGCTGGGCTTATGGCTCAGAGGTAAAGCACTCGCCTAGCATGCATAAGGCGCTGGGTTCGATCCTCAGCACCACATAAAAATAAAATAAAAATATTGTGTCTCCCTATAACTAAAAAATAAATTTAAAAAATTAAGTGTTCCTGAGAAGTGAGGCAGTTCTTAAGATTCGAGAAGCAAGGCTATATTCCCCTCACCCTTTCATCTGGTTTCTGTTCAAAGATGAAATTGTTTCCTAATAATTGACCATCCTCATATAAGGAAATATTTTCATTGTAAGATTTTGCTAACACAGCTAATTCTTTGAGTCCATTGTTCAAAGTTCCAACTAATCCTTTTATGAAATAATAAAAAAAAGATGTGAATGTAAGTAACAAAGAGTACACAATGCTTTAAAAACAGCTTTCCTGATTTCCATTCATTTTGCTTCTACTCTGGAGGAATGAGGGGGCAGACAAAGGAACCCTGGTGAGGGGCTTTCTAAGGGAACTGAGTCAAGGCTGCAGATGGGTGCAACAGAAACCTGTATCYAGCTATTTATACCTTATCACTTTCTGGTAATCCTAGGTCTGGCTCTAAGTGGGCATTCGGGGAAGAGGCAAGAGAAAAGCCCCTCTYTACTCAGCTGAAATCCAAGAACTTCTGCCTATGATATGAGTTTATGTGCATCACCCAAAAACCTTAAAACCCTTTATCAAAATTTGCTTTTTCCGGCTGAGCATGGTGGCACAAACCTATAATCCCATCAACTTGAAAGGCTGAGGCAAGAGGATTACAAGTTCAAAGGCAGCCTCAGCAACTTAGTGAGGCCCTAAGCAACTTAGTGGAGACCCTGTCTCAAAATAAAAAATAAAAACAAAAGGCTGTCGCTCAGTGGCAGAGCACTTACCTAGCATGTGTGAGGCACTGGGTTTAATCCTCATAAAAAATAAATAAGGGCATTCTGTCCATTTACTACAACAACAACAACAACAATAATAATAGGCTGGGGATATGGCTCAGTGGTTAAGCACTCCTGGGTTCAACCACTGGCACCATCACCCCAATTGCTTTTTCTTTTCCTCTTAGATAAAACTAAAAATCATCTCAAATTAAAAGAAAAAAAATAAAGATCTAGGCTAGGTGAAAAGGGGATGTCATGAAGGAGATGGAGGTTGGAAAGGTGACAACTGGGAGATGGAGGAAGAGAAAAACAGCACACAAAAGCACAGAAACCAAACCCACAGGATCTGAAGATGTGAGGATGCCAGCACAGGGGGTAAAGATTCGGAAATCAGAACGCTCAAATTAACTGATGTAAAGATGAGAGGTTTGGAGTATCTAGAATAAACTAAAGTTTTCCTACTGAAAGTCTGAAGACTCAGAAAGGCGTGGACACATACCAAGCATTTTGAAGAAAAAATTCCAATGAAACAGTTTAAGTTCAGAGGCTCTAACAAAGAGATGCACAGAGAAAGCTTTGATTACCTGGAAGCATCACTTATGTTTGGGAAAAATCAATGACAACACTAGATAAACAGGAACACTCAAGTCCTCTCTGGGATCCTTTGGTTTCAGAAGCTTTCAGCTACCAGGAAGTTTTAGACTGAGTATTAAGTATATAATGTGAACTCTGGTTTTAAGTAAAACAAGATTGTTTTATTAGCACTTGGCTTCATTTAGGTCTTCATCAAGTAGTGGTCCAGTTTAAAAATCTTTTTTGCAATACTTTCATGCAAATAGCTTATATAAATGAGGGACCAAGAATTTTCACTCCATTCATTATCGACTAATGAAATTAAACTCTTCTGATCAAAACCCAAGGGTGAAGAGATCAACAAGGAAGAACAAGACTCTGAGCTGTTTCAAGTGAATTTTATTTTCATGTTTTTTGTTTGTTCTTTTGGTGGTAAGGACTGAACCTGGGCCTCATGCATGCCAAGTATGGGCTCCACAACTGAGGGACATCCCCTGCCCCAACTGAAGGTTGGCACTGGCAAGGATCAGGAGCAAAAAGGCCTCAAAGCCAGCATTCAAAACTCTAACTCATGCACTTGCCTTACAGGAAAATTCCTCAAATACACACACAGAGCACTTAAATTTTTTTTTTGTTTGTTTTAATTGGTTGTACATCACCTTCATTCTTATTTTATCTTCCTGGGAAGCTTGGTTAGTTCTATCACTACCCAGACAGGAATATAAATACATTACTGCAATGACAGTAGGAAGCAGAAGTAGCAGAAAGGGTAACAGCCAGGTGAGATCAGATAGTAAGAAGCAGTCACCAGCACGGAACTTTCAGAGCTGGGAGGAGCTTTGTGGAGCTTTTGTGGAGAGCAGACCTCAGCACCTCCCAAAGCATGGCTTGGGATGAGGAGCCTAGATCTCTAAAACAAGGTGAGAGGCTTTCCCATGTCCTTTGCTTATGAAAGCAGGGAAGTATACAAGACGTACAGAGAGATTCTAGACTAAAAGAAAGCAAGTCTAGGTCCTTCGTGAGCTAAATTTCAATCTGCTGACGAACAATTTGGAGCAATTTCTTAATCACAAGGATGCTGTATAAATAAGGAGTGATCAAGAGTTTTTACTGCATGCATTATCAACTAATGAAATCAAACTCTTCTGATCAAAACCCACAAGTGAAGAGATTAACACGGAAAAAAAAATGAGATCCCAGGATGTTTCAAGTACATTTGACTTTCATGTTCTTTGCCCCCCTTTCTTTTTAGTGCTGAGGATTGAACCTGGCCTCTTGCATGCTAAGCATAGCTTCTACCACTGGGATGTCCCAGCCCTTTTTATTTTCGAGACAAGGTCTCACTAAGTTGCTAAGGCTGGCCTCAAACTTAAAGATTCTCCTGCTTCCTGAAATTATAGGCATGTTCCTCTATGCCTAGCTACCAACTTTTGTATTTTTTGATGCTTTCTGGAAGTATGTCTATTTCCCTCAGTTATTCTAGAACTAGGGATATTGTACCATAAAACTAGCTTGCTGAAATTACTTTTCCCTTAAAATACTGGCTTTTCTTGGCCAACCAGGAGGTAGGGAGCTGCCAGGCAGTGTCTGGTGCCAAGAAGTTCTATAAATGGCAAACAGGAACTTTCTGTGGCTGACATTCACCTGTTTAGACCTTGGCAGTACCCGATATCTGGATTCCGCCAGGAGAAGGCGAGGAGGACGTTCCGTAGCTTCTGTATGCCTTCAGAGGTCGGGCAGGAGTAATGTTTGTTGTTGGGCAGAGTTCGCAGCAGGTCTAGCTCTATCTGCTTGGAGGCTGGGTTCTGTTTCTCCAGTGCTTTTTGAAGCAAGGTCTGGAAGTAGCCTGGCTCAGCACTGTCCTTGAACTTCCTTGTGTGAAGGTCCACACACCACTTCCACACCTTGGAACGGTGCTCGTGGGGAATGCCTGCACGAATCAGGTTTTTTAATTCGGGAGAGCACATCATCTCTCTGTTCATTGTGCTTGCAAAATAGTTTTCCCACTTGACCCCAGTGGAAACTTCCTGGTTTTCTGTGAGGTAGAGAGTTTTCAGGTCCAATGCACGGACTTTGGCAACCAATTTCTCTTCCTCGTCATCATCAGGCACAGTCCTGAACCCATAAATATCATACTCGCTGTTGAAAAAAACAAATGGGAAAATGAAAATTATATGGAATATAGGTGGCCTCTAGAATTATTATATAAATCATAAGGAATATAGGTGGCCTCTAGAAGCTGGGAACTGCCATAGCTGACAGCCAGAAAAGTAACAGGGACTAGTCTTGCAGCTTCAAGGGAACTGTATTCTACCAACATCTTGGGTGAGCAAGAAAATGAACTGTTCCCTAGAACACTCAGAAAGGAATGCAGCCCTTGATCAAACTTTGACTTTAATCCAGTGAGACCAATGTTGGGCTTCTGACCCATAGAACTATAAGATAATGAATCTGTGCTGCTTTATTTTTAAAAAATATTTATTTATTTATTTTTTAGTTGTAGTTGGACACGKTACCTTTATTTTTTATTTATTTATCTTTATGTGGTGCTGAGGATCGAACCCAGATCCTCGCACGTGGTAGGCGAGCATTCTACTGCTGAGCCACAACCATAGCCCTCTGTGCTGTTTTTAGTSACTAAGTTTGTGGTAATTTGTTAGGATGGCAACGGAAAATTAACAGAAAAGCTTTGCATGCACTGAGTGTGAAGCTAATTCAAGTACTTTGGGAACTGGGTTTGGCAGAGTTGAAGACATGCATTCGGTCAAGAATCTCCCTTCTATTCTACACCTAGAGTAACTCTCTTGCCTGGGTACCTGGGAACATGTACTTTGATTGTTATGAACAGTGATGCAGTAACTAAGAAAAATGCAAAGATTTTCTCCACTTAGGAGCATAATAAAGTACTGTGGTCCTCTCATCAATGAAGTTCTCTGAAGTAGGTGAAAAACATACCCAGTGGCTACCTAACATGGGAAGAGTACCTCACTCCTTCAGAACAGCTCGGAGGCTTGCAGAGGTTAATCACTCCCAAGGGAGCAGCACCACACAGCAGCATAGGCAGTTCTCTTGGGCCTCAACCTCAAAACAAGTGTTTTGCAACAATAACGTCGATCACATTCTGACAGCGTGTTTCTGTCATCTGTGCAGCCCAAACAAAGCTGGCAGGTGTCGTAAGCTCAGGGGAGGGAAAGATTATGCCAAATGGAAGCAAGGCTTCACCTGGGGATAATCTGGGAGAAGAGAGGACAGGCAGGAAGGAGACTGTGGTAATTGAGACTCAACACATTGCTGCCTCTGAGTGGCAGAGGGTGAAACAGGAGAAGAGGGTGGACCCAAGTGAATGTGCAGATTTCTTCAAGTTCCAACATTTCACAAGTTCCACTTTTCAGAAAATTGGTTATAATGGATTCTTAATCCAAGATCCATCATGAACTTCCAGGTTCTGTGATTTCCAAAAAGAATGTGCAAAATTGTGTGTGTGTGTGTGTGTGTGTGTGTGTGTGTGTGTGCGTGCGCGCTGCAATTACTTTTGGAGGTAAGTGTGTCTATGGCTTGCATCAGATCCTTAGTGGGTTCTGGACCAATGAATTAAGTTTCCCAAAAAGCTTTCCCTGGGCTTGGGTTGTAGCTCAGTGGTAGAGCACTTGCCTAGCATGTGTGAGACACTGGATTTGATCCCTAGCACCACATAAAAATAAACAAACATAGTAAAGGTATTGTGTCCATCTACAACATAAAAATTTTAAAAAAAGGTTCCCCTTATAAAGAAAGTCCAGTCCCCCTTTGCTTTTAAATTGCCTGTGGGTATAACTGTCTCAGGAGAGGGTTCCTAACAGAAACCTCCCAAAGTGGTGTGGGCTTTGACATGGTTCACAAGAAAAAAGTCTTGAAGCAGGATACCTGGGCTGATTCCAGATCTATCACTTGATTACTGGGAGGGGAATGGTAATATTATCTGTTCTGCTGACCCAACAACACTTGCCATGAGCATCAAATGAGACGTTCCTGTGAGTGGCTACTACTGAAAAAGGACACTTCAGAAATGGGGTGCATTACCCCCAACAGTCTCTAGTTCCTTTACCTGACAAGATGAGGCTTAATGAATGCTTGCTCTGGCTGCTCTTGACTCTCAACCTGCAGTGCATCCTCCAGCAACTGGGCTATGACATCCCGGGAAGGCCCCTGTTCTTCTGAGCAAACTGGTGTCTTCATTTCTTGAAGCAATATCAAGTATTTACTTTCTATCTGGCAGAGCTTGGCTTCCAGGCTAGAATACTGCAGAAAATGTGGGGGTTACCTCCATCCACATAGAGACATGAGAAAAGCAATCCTTAGGTACCTCAAGTAATCAATAATGACCAGCTCAAACTATTAGGAAATAAACTAGAGACAGTGTAACAAAGAAGAAATTAATGTATGCCACAGGCCATCTACCATATTTTAAAAACCTACTGTGGGTCTTGGGTTGTACTCAGTGGAAGAGTACTTGCCTTGCATGTGTGAGGCACTGGGTTTGCTCCTCAGCACCAAGTAAAAATAAAATAAATAAATATTGTGTCCACCTACAACTAAAAACATTTTTTTWAAAAAAAGACCTATTGTGGCCCTCCTCTTCCTTCTAGGGGTCTGACACAGAAGGGTTCTAACAATCAAAGGTCTGGATGTTAATACATGCCTCACCCCCGCACAGGGCTAAACGAATAACAGAAACCATGTCCTTTGCCAATTACTGAGTCAAGCTGGTGCCACCATATTCATTGGTCATGAGTGGCCACCCCATGCCACAGCAACTATCTAAGGACTTTGTGACCTTTGTCCAGCTCCCATGTGCCACCTGATCAACAAATCAAATACATCCTCGAAAAGATGCAGGAATAAGGTTTCAGAAGATGTTTGATGTCTGCTCAAAAACATACATAAAATATATAATATCTGTGGACAAGTGTCAGTTGATTATAGTTCATTTGATGATAGAACGTTTTGTGGTCCCTTTACACTTGACAAAGCCCTTTCTAGCCATAATTATGTCTTGAGTGGAGAGTCAGTGGGTTCACAATGGAGTTATCCTCAACACCCTGATTTACAGATACAGAACTAAATAGCATAAATCAAAATTCAAGGGCTGGGGATGTGGCTCAGCGGTAGCGCGCTCGCCTGGCACGAGTGCGGCCTGGGTTTGATCCTCAGCACCACATACAAACAAAGATGTTGTTGCTAGGAGCCACAGCAAAAGTATTATGATACATGGCACCTTTGGTTTAGGTGACTGCCAGCTAGCCATTGAGATGATATGATTATGTTAAGCTTTACATTCATATGGAAATTGGACTCCTGCTGTTCACCTCGGCCTGTTA